ACGATTATTTATGTAGAAAACATTTATTTTTTGGCAAGGCAGTGCACCAGCTACCCTATCTAAAAGTTTGCACGCGATTCCAGATACTCGTGGCTAAAGATGAATGCCCCTTGCTGGAATTCACCTGCTTTCTTCAATGTCCCTTTCGATGTAGTAACATCAAAATAATTATAGATATTTTTTAACCTTTTCAATCCAATTAATCTGACACGAGATACAACAATTGTCGCTTATCAGTAACACTGTCCAAAAACCGTGTCTATCCAATTTCTTGTTGTCTATTTGTATCTTTGTATCCTAAGCTAAGGATGGCCGGACTTTGAGTGTGGTAGAACAGCAATTTGTATAGGGAAAGACACATGGACCAAGGGGATAAGGGGGCTTTAGCCTCCCCACCCTAAAAATTTTCAAAATGTACTTAAAACCATGCAAAAACCGCTCTATCTTATCCTCTTAGTTTTTAACATGTTTAGCCCCCCCCAAAAAAAGTGCTTTAGCCCCCTCAATCTGTGATATGCTCCGCGGTCTTTGGAAGTACAGATCCCAAATAGTAGAATATTCGATTTAACCTAAATGTGTTTACTCGCTTGATTGCAACTGCGCGCAACGAACGAGCAATCATGTGGAAGGGAGTTAGTTGGCTGTCCGAAAATGGACACTTCTAGGACGACTCCTCGAAGCTCGAGTCACTTCTTCTGGCGCCCAATCCCAAGAAAACGGCTTGCTCTGACGTGAAACTTATCGAAACTTTGCAAACAATGTTGAAATCAAAAGAATTTCGTATATCGTTACAGATTAATCAGCTTGATCCTAGCATAATAAAAAGACATACAAATCGAGGTGGTCAGGCCCACTCCCACGATGTTTCTGTTGTGTGCCGTCTTCAGGGCTGCGTCATCAATACACCCCCATATTCTCTCTTTTGACTATTATGCTTCCCCGATTTGTACTTGCTTGCTAAACTCCTATGATGTACTTACAAGGATTTCTTTGACTCACTGATCCCATTTACTTTGCCCGATAATCCAAGGCAATCATTCTTAAAGGATCTTTAAAGACAAGTCATTAAAAAGTTATCCTGCAGGCAAATCTGTGTAAACAAAAGTTTCTAAAATTTTCAGCAAAGACGCAAGATACTGTGTGCGTTCAATTTAATGTTACTCCAAATTAGATTCTGTGTAGAATTTATTTGTTAAAAGATAATCGAGTATATAGAAAGTTTATAAAGCAGGCCTGAGCAGATCCATTAGGTAAAGTTTAGAATCATTTTAGAAATTTGGATAGTATAAAACTTAATCGCCCCTACAGGTCCTGTGAAGTTTCTTTGTTTAAGACAATAGATTCCTTGTTAAAAAAAAAGTTTGCCCCCTCCCCCAACATACTTAAAATCCTTGGAAAGGCTATGGAAAAATTCGGAAAACAGTAAGTTCCAATCATTACCCTGCCTGAAAAAATTAATAGCTAAAGCATCGCTGCAAGTTGATTCTCGAGATTTCTTTCAAATGGGTTATAGGAATTGCTGACAAAACATTTAAAATATTGCCGCTTTACGTTCAATAGAGCTCAGAATGTATACTGAAATTTTTACCTTGGATGTGTCACACCTACACCCTCAACAAGACACAACCCCTCCCCCACCCCTGTAGCAACCGCCCTGCCGATCAACTCCATTGTTGTCGACTTTTCTTTGTCCTGACAAAAAGTGGTTTTTGAGTGCTGCACCTAGCTAAGGGGGCCAATTTGTCCACAGCAAAAGGTTTCATTTTACCTGTGATTCTAGACTCGGCAGTATCGCAAACTACACTCGATATCTTCAAAATGAAAAATTACTTCGTACCATCAACAATTTAAACAAAGTAACCAAAGTACTTTCTGAATTATGTTCCCACGTGACTTTAAAAGGTTGATTGGTATTTGATCCAAGCGTTTTTACTGCCTTGATAATAGGACCCCGTTTAGTTTGCTGTCGATTTTTCACAAAAAGAGCCGCTAAATGCCTGATGCCTCTAGATTATTCTTACCCTGCAATCAAAATTCCTATTCAATCGCCATATAGCCGCTAACAATATTCCCAGTATAACAGTTTAGTCCAGTTATAGTCTCATGATTTAAAAAGCTCTTTACAGTGTTGTGATGAATTACGATTTTAGCCACTGTAGTTTCGCGAAATTTTCATTAATCTTAACAGGGATTGATTGAAAAGTTCATTAATTAGCTTTTTGCTGCATTCCATCAACCACAAAGCTTTCCTATGCCTATCTTTTTATTACCGGTCGCTTTCATTGAGAGACTAAGGTTTGTTGGTCATATAGTTACAATCCACGGTGGCACAAACAACAGGATAAAATCTTGGCCTAAAATTTTCTCGCAGTTCGATACAAGAATCAAGTTTCCTCCTCTGATGTTTTTTCACCCCTTAGTAGCAAAGGCCTTATAAGGCCTTATAAGCCTTTCTGTTAGTTTTTCGGTGTTTTTGCTTAGGAAAAGGAATGGAATGCTATCTGGAGTTATTCCAGTCAATATGCTTTTTGGCTACCTAAAATTTTCCTGCGCTCGACGTTTTCATTTGCCTTTTCTCTTTTCCGGGTACAAATTGAAACTTTCAGAAAAAGCCAATGAAATGGGCAGTTGCTACGGGGGCTGTGGTATTAAGGAGTGACTTTGTCCTGGGCATCGTATGGGCTTTAAACAACAGCTTTTTCTGTCAATAAGGGGGTCTTTAATTTCGGCCAACAACCTGGACTTGCTGCAAGTGTCTCTCTGTTTTAAGTAGGAATATTTTTTGGCTGGAATGAGCAGAAAAATCCGAAGTCTGATAAATATAAGAAAGAAAGAAAGAAACTGGAGACGGCTAGGGAGGGCTGGAGAGGGCTCGAGGGGGCTGGAGAGATCTCTTCAGCCTTTTTCTTTACCTTTTTTCTGTATTCATTTTTAATATATCGATTTTCCGGCCTAAGGAATGCTCGGATATAAAAGAGAGGTAGAGACATGTAGCAAGTCCATCGAAAACGCTGCTCCCCCTTCTCTCTTTCGTGAAAACAATTTCAAACGGAATTTTGCCCTTCAGCACACTGGGTATTAGCCTCTTTCATGTAGAGAGACGAAAGGACACTTTCTCAAGGAATTCTGATATTACATACAGTTGCGCAAAACCAATATAATTTTGATTGCTTCTATACCAACTCAGTCTTATTAATGGCTTCTCATTGTAAGAAATTTCACGCGAAAACCACATCGAGACGAGATATTGCCTTTCAAAAAGGCTGGTATAACCATATTTGAACAAGGCGACTAAGGTCACTGTGTAATTTGACCAGCGTGGCTGTGGGTATATTGCTATCTATCTCATCGTTGGCGCTTTTAATCAGCTAATGACTTCGAACAGTCGTTTATACACTTGACTCGTACTCATTTTATCACTGTTGCTATGGACGCATGCCTCCATCTTGGCTCGTGTGCCAAGCAGCATGCTTTCTCCAAATATAGTCAAGGCCATAGCCAAACTATGGTCGTATATCTTTTGGGTTACAGCCCCTACACTTGCCGTAAGCTTGGGCATTTCGGAAAAGGGTACATTGAATCCTTCTTCTCTTCACTATCATTATTAGAATTTTACATTTCTACTAAGATCCTAGTCTGAACTTGCCCTGGTATTTGTTCACCAGTTTCGCAGCCAAGGGCACTGCTTAAATTTGCTGGAAAATCTCCTCCTCGGATTTTGTCTTAACTTGCTCATTGAAGGGTTCTGTATGATCCAGAAACTGTGACGAAACTCGTAAATACTGTGCGATGTGGCAACTGAATTATAATTCTAAATCATTATTATTCAACTGTTGCATCTATTTCATGTTTACCTGCACGTATCTTCTCTAGTTTGATTTTCTTGAAATCTTTTCCAATACTTTCATCAATAACTTTCACAGATTTTTTTCAAACTTATAAGTATATTTACCCAGTAGTGTAGTGCTATCAAAATAACAAGGGGGGCTCTTGCCCAAAATGTCGCGAAAAACAATAGCAAAAGAAGAAATTTGCCAATTTTCGGCATCAACAAGGGGGGCCCAGCCCCCCTGAGCCCCCCTAGCTCTACACCCCTGTATTTACCTTATTTAAATTTTAGTTATCTGGCATATCTACCATACTTTGTTTCATTTTTGATATCGCTAGGCATTGTGAACGTCCTAAGATTGAAATTCAACGTATGCATGTGTCATTTGCATAAAAAGGTTTCGTTTTATGTCATGTAAAAAAGCCATGAAGAGACGGTTAATCGAAACTCATAAAAGGCACACCCAAATATTACCTGGCCCTCTGTGAAATTTAATGGCATTTAATATTACTCTCTGTGGCACAGACGCTAGAAACCCATTTCCCTGACGGAATCAACGACGCCTATCGACGTCTCTAACCATAGCAATGTCTAGGGAACACGTCATAATTCCCTACACTCTCTTGGCCTAAGAAACAACTCTGTGCATAAAACCAATATTCTCTTGAATATTGCTGATCTAGCAAACGTTAACCTGTATTTTTGCGGCAACCGTGCAATGTGTGTCCTGCTTCCAGAAATTAATGACACTTTTTTGTATTTTTGTCACGAAATGGTGGAAAGGTGATGTTTCGTTCCCATAATGAAAACACAAGGGCGACACTTTTACCTTGTCCTATTCTTTTTCTTAAGTGTATCTTTCATTGTTTCGCCCCCATGCATGTTTCACTTAAAAAGCGGTCTTTCAAAGGAACAACGGTTGCAGGTGCTTTAACGCCATTACCCTTGCAAAACTGGTGTCAAGTGCTTCTTGAATTGTTTCTCTGACAATTAAAGAACAGTTAATGACTTTCTACCCAACGTTTTATTCAGAACCAAAATCAAGGCCTCTCTAGAAATTGCAAACGGCCGCTGAGGATGTTAACTGAAAGCCCGGTTCTAAGGTAATTTGCTATGAATTTTTCTATCTTAGGTGAAAGTGTCGCGAGAAGGTGTTTATTGTTTATCTAAATCCAATCCTTCCATTTTCAAATTTTGCAATCGGTAGCTATATTCTGTCAGTTGACTTTTATTGACTTTTACTGATTAAATCTTTTTAAATTTACCAAAATTTTGAGTATTGAAACAAGGCTCTGTTTCCAATATTGATCGGTATAAATACTCAGCTCAAACATCATGGATTCGAATTTTAAATCGCGAATATTCTGATGAGGCTTTCTCCAAACAGCAAACACAGCTCCAACCATGCAACAGAAAGTTTGGTTTTTCATTTGCCAGTCATATCTTGTTCGAAATTCCAATTTCTTTTCATAGGGATAGTATTTAAATATACAGAAGGGATTTAGGAAAATGCTTTGTATTCCTGTGTCTTTTTAAAAAAATGAGGGTTTGGTTCTTTGTTGATTCTTTCAATGCATTGGAAGCTCAAGTTTTACACGCTTTTTAATCGAGCTGCACTGATCTATACAAAATACGCATGACACGCTAAAATCGAGCTGCTACCATTTCCACATGCACATTTGAATGTTTAAAATAACATCGATTTATTAATTCTACTGGTGATAGTATTCAGTCAAGCTGGGTCACAGGGGGGTCAAGAAAACGTGGAACCGTTGCTTTTGTTGGCTGTTATAAGAAGCGGCATGTTAAAAAGCCATTTTCATAAAGAGTTACCTCTTCAGCGGAGCGCGCAAGGCTGGTAAATTATCGTGTAACAATTTGTGTACGTGGTGGAGTATTGTGTTGGTTGAACATCGGTACCTCTATAGCAGGGTGGCGTTTCTAAAGACAGGGTAATTTACCTTGATTTTTGCAGTTTGATTATCAAATGACCTCTTTGACATTCAATGTTGCTTTCAGCTACTATTGATAGCAAGACAGTTTGAGTTCAGCAGGCATACACGTAGGAAAAATAAACGCTATTTTTGATAGTGTTATGATTTTGGCAAACTTTAAACAGAGCAGATGCAGAGCTAGTGTTTGAGGTAGTTGAGTATATGTGTCATCATTTTCGCGTTGGCTTAAAATGCTATTTGATTTTAAGTAACTGATTTTCTCAAACTTGTTTTCATTTCCGCGTGTCATTCTGTTTTCTACTTCTAATTAGAATACTGTTTCGTATGATCCCGTGAAAATATGACACCCTGTGGATTAGCTACAGTGTATACAGCGATTTTCAGTGACGTCATAGCCATTCCAATGAGGATTTTCAGCACCCTTTGGGAAGGAGAACGTTACTAATTATTATATAGTTGGATTTTTTGTCACCGGATTCACAAACCTTTTCAAAACCGGTTGGACAGAGGGACCGAGGAAGGATGTACATTCTTCCTGAAAAGCAAAATTTAACCGTTAGAAAGCAATCTTGGTATAATTTTGCGTCACCATTATGTAGTATTTGAAACAGAGAAATAAAAAATTTCTTTTGTGTATTGTTTTGTCTGATTACGCTGGAGCTCTTCGTTTTAGAGAGTACGGTACGTAGATCACAATCGATGCTCTATCTTCTATGTTTTTAGCAACACGCCTTATTTTCCTAAAAAATCGTAAACTCAGGCAATTCTTGATGTTACTTTACCGATGTTTACATTTGCAGGGAGAACAATTGAAGACAGATCGCTTTGTTTACGTCTTGCTCAAAAGAGCCGACAATGATTGCAACGGGAAGACATAATTAGATTGAAGTCGTCAAAAGCGAGTTCACAATCGGATGGGCTTTGATTGACAGGAGGGTGACCGCATAGTCAAGATCGGAGGTCGTATAGTTCCCGCTAACAGCCAAACGATAAGCCATTCATGCTAAAACTTAGCACAGGAAAAGGAGCTGTGGAATTCGCGAGGAAGCTCCCGTATAATCGCGTTTGGTAGGAAACTGTGAGCCTGCGAGATCACTTCATTTAGCGAGTGAAAATCACACGTACATAGCTTTTGCCTGGAAGTTTAACTTGTCGTTCAAGTTATCAGAAATACTCGCATTTTTATTGAAGGCACTTTTTCAGCATTTGCAAGAGTTTGCAGAATTTTATTGTGTTATGAAATGAAATAATTTAGAGTGACAAGTTCAATAACATGGATTAATGATTGAAGATTCCGAATTCAAGCATAAATCAAACGATGGGCAGATGCTTCGAGTGCCGTTTAAGTAAACTGGATTTATAATGATATTATCTTCTGGCAAAGAAAATATGGGTATTGAAACAGACAGATTTGTAGATAATCTTCCTCAAGAAGTTCTTTGTCCTCTGTGTTGTCTAATTTTGAAAGAGCCAGTATGCAGCCCCTGTGGACACTACGTTTGTGCAGGTTGTTGGCAAAGCTGGCGAAGGGGACCATCAGCAGATATTTGTCCTTATTGCTGCTCAAAGATATTATCGAACGATAGTGTGCAAAGATCCCAGACTGTATGGAAGCTCGTATTAAATTTCAATGTCTACTGCCCGTATCACAAGGACGGCTGTACTGCTGTTTATAAACTTGGACTGGAGGATGTTCATTTGAAAACCTGCCCGTACAATAGAGAAAATGGGTGCGAAGGGGATTATTTTAGTGAAAGCGAGTTAATAGAGAAAAGGAAAGCCCTGAACAATTGCAGGAATTGTCATCATACTGTTGAGAATGCTTGTGAACACGATTGTTTAGATGTGTTATTGGAGACAGTAAAAACGCAGAAAATTCAAATAACGAACTTGGAGTACGAAAATGACAAACTTTCGCTTAGGCTGACATCGAAGGAAAACGAGATAATGGACCAGCTTGTAGATGTCGAAAATCGATGTCAAAAACAGGCCTTGAATTACGAACGGGAAATTCGAGAACTTCGAACGAAAATGGCAGCTCTGCAAGGAGAGTTACGCAAAAGAGACGGAGAGGTATGTAATTCGATTTATTCCAACGATACTTTTTCTTATTTTCAACATTACTGTTCAATATTGCTGGTCCATTTTACTTACACTCCTTCGGGCATGTTTCGACTGCCAAACTGTGATCTTAAAATTGCATCATTTCCAAGTGTATCGTACAACTCGAAAGCGTTTGTCTGTAGAACCGAAAACAAATAGACTAATATTTTTAATTTATTTTCTTTGACACCTGAGTAGGCTCTCTTCGCGATTTTGATTTCTACCACAATATTTCTGAATTTGTGTGTGTGTAAGTTTCGTCCATTTATTATGGGTAATGATAATATTTGGCAAGGTATCAGACGAGCTTAGAAATTAATGTAACACATTGTTTTGAAATTCAACGATTTGTTTTTGAAAATGAATTGTTTAGTTCTTTCGCTTCGCACAGTATAATGTATGACACAAACGGAAACCTCGACAAAACCTTAATTAGTGTTACTAACAGTAGTTCAAAGACTGTGTTTTTATACTTTTATCCACCATGAGGCCCATTTCGAGTGGTTCCGTTCGCAAATCAGGCAACAGAAATTGATAGGATTGTAAAATGATAACAATGAAAATTTATTTTAACGTTAGCCATACATTAAGAGTTTTTGGGTGGTTAACATATTGTGGAATTTTACCGACTGAGGTGCGGTTGGGGGCTTTTATCACGCTGGTGTTTCAATGTCAAATCCTTGTGCATGTACCTTTTATCACCATTTCTTGTGATCTCGAGTGGACGGATATGTTGATGCGCGAAAACTCAGCCGATCACAGCAAATGACGTTTACTAGATTAGCTAAATAGGGCCTATGAATGGGCACAGTTTGAAACCGGACATAGATGTCCGTGTTTTTGTGGGGCGATGCGGTGCAGGGAATTAATGGTGTTAATTGAAAGTAAACCCCGCACATTTCCTTATTCGTAAAGGTCGGTGTGCCTAGAATAAAACATAAAATGGCTCCGGGATATTCGCGCTTTGTGATGCACAGTTTTCTGACATGAAAATCAATTTATCCGTTTTTTAAAAGCTCAAAATCCTGTAAAATATAGATCGAATATTAATTGATAGTTGTTTTTGATTTTTCGTTAAGGCTTCTCAAAGGGGAAATATATTATTCCGTATGTGCATTAAAATTCCTTTGTTATTGAAAATTTAACCTATCTTGTTAAGTTTCCTCCCCGGCCTTTCCAATAAATTCCAGTATTTAAAATGCTGAATTAGAAGATTGAACTATATACGCAGCCCACCTAGGCTGAGCTGAAACAGTTTTTGTCAAGAGCCTGTGTTTAATTTTAGTGGAAAACATCCAAAGATCCCGCCGTTGCCTAGTTAATGTAGCAACGTTATCAAGAGAGAAAGGAAGTTTTATGTTACACGTGTTTTGCTTTGTTGTTGAAAACATAGACGAAGAATAATTGTTGCAACGTTAAAATAGAACGTAAACAAACGCTTGTTATGATCTCTACTATGGACTAGCAGCTTGACTTCACAAGGGTGTGTATAGTATTGTTTATGCTTTTGACATGAAGGTCACTTAATCTGCTCAGGTATAGATTGTCAAGGTGCTAGGTTGTCAGTTGTTGAGTTTTTCTGTCCTGCATTGACGTCAAAATTCTACTACTGTTGCTGTAATTGAAATTAATTGAAATTAAAATTCAACACAGCTCCATTGCCTTAATCCTAAAATAAAAAACCTTGTAAATATCGTTACTATCATTGCGATTAGTTGGATCAGAAGAGCCTTCGTCGATCACCGTTGATTTGATTGCGATAAAGCATACAATGATAACACAACGATTATAATCGTTACGTTTTCATATAATTGTCTGGTTGTTTTGATTACCTTGCTTCGAGTGATCATCTTAATTGTGATCTTCTATCATAATAATCATTTCAATCCTCATCATAGTCATCATCATGATCATAATTCAAATTAATTCATCAACCTCCGTCTCACTGCTGATAAAAGTTCTCAGGGAAATTGTGTTTATAGAGGTGTGGTTAAAAATAGACCAAATGCCAAATTTGCATGTGATATTCGATCATTAAGCCTTCAACGAGATTCGTTTTTCTAGGCACGGGCCCCTTTTACTTTGGAAGATAAACTGTCTTTTGTCTTTTTTTGAAGTTTTGTGATGTCAATGCTTTGTTGATGGTTAATCCAAAATACATCTTTGTACGGTCTTATAAGATCGTAAACACTTCGTACATAACAGATACCGCTACACGAGTGATCTCTAATACATATGTTTTATCCATGTTTGTGGTATGCAAAGGTCCCGACAAGAGTCGTTCCCTTTCTGACTCAGGCTAGCCCTTACACGAAGTTCTTTCACAGTGTATTGTGTGTACATACGGGCGGAACTTTATTTCAAAATACAACCACTTACCAATCCCGCGCGAAATTTACTTGAGGAAAAACCCGAAAGTCTTTATTAAGACCCATGCCGTGATTATCATTATTTCAGTTCATCATCATTGGTCGCTGCTTTCGTCAATCAACATCAGCCCCCATCATTAATCATAATCGCAATCATTACTCGTGATCATCACGAATCATTATCCTCAATAGTCGTAACCATTTACATCGATCTTTATCATTAATCATAATCATCACCATCAATCATTAATCACGATCATGACGAATCATTATCCTTAATAGTCGTAACCATTTACATCTATCTTTATCATTAATCATCATCGCAATCATTTCTCACGATCATCACGAAGCATCGTCACTCGTCGCTGATTCACACCGATCATCATCAATCACCAAGAATCATATTCCATTATTATCAGTATCGTCGTTATCATAATCATAATCATCGATAATCAACTGATCATTCATGATTACTAATCATTAACCAAAACAAACGAATGCCTATTTTTGCTATTTCCTTTTTAAACGTTTCTACAGATGGATATTATGATTATCGAAAGGTTGACCAGAGACGAACTTTGAGACGAACACAATCATGTGACTTGCACTGAATTCCTTCCTGATCCTGAAAAATGCTAAGTTTATTCAAAAACTAATTTCATCAGAACGTACAATCGCAGAAATTCACTTCAGTTTATGAATCTTATTTTGTAGATCGAAGAGATTGAATTAACGGTAACCCTTGAGAGGCAAAATGGAAGCTTAGGTCTGAATATTGTTGGTGGCTACCAGGTAAGAACGATTATCGAATTTAGCATCGTCAACCTTCTTACTCATTTTTTATTTGCTTGTTTGTCTGTTGTTTGTTTTATTATTCGAATCGTCGTTATGTTGTTATTTTCGCTAGGGAACGATCTACCAAAGTCCAGCTTTCCTTCTCCTGTTGTGAAGTTTTATTAAAACGTGATGATGCAATGAATATTCAGTCGATATTGCTCGAGTTCCTGCTTTTGCAATATGAAGGGCAGGCAAAAACCTGCCAAATTTCAGCTTATTGCCTCGTGAATTCTGTCTACGCGTTTTGCATTTTTGATTTATTTGTGATATTTTCATGGCACTGCAAGGTGCAAACAAATCGATGCCTACAGATCACGGCAATATGTCATCGCTTATAGAAAATGCTTGGCATATTTTCACCAGATTTTTTCTTCACTTCAAAAATAGGTGCAATTTATTCATTTTGATGATCCTATTCCAGAAGCCTGCACTCGTTTTAGCGTTACTCGTGACCATACCATTTTTTCGCGTTGCATGACACAAAGAAACAGAACTAATACAAATCGACGTGTTATATAAATCACTCGATTTTTCAATATCGTTTCAATGCACTTTTGAGACTATCATATTTTATGGCGTCTCATTGTGCTTTATTTATTTTCGTTATGCCTTGTAAAAATAGGCTTCCGAAAAATATTTTAAAGATGATTTTTTTATACTACAAATTGAAGAGTTATTTTGCAATGGCTAGTACTGTTTCGACAATCAGAGTTTAAAGAATCCGGCGGAGAATTTCCCAGCAGTTTGTGGCACTCGAGGTTTTTCGCGAATTCAGTTTAGACCAATCTTCAATTATCAACAATCAGGCACCGCGGACCGTTGAGAAAAGTGGGGGGGGTCTAAAAAAGTGGGGGGGGGCCAAAACCGTATAAAAAGAGGCTTTTCTGGTAGTTTGATACTTAATATTTGGCATTTTTGCAAAAAGTAGGAGGGGCTAAAGCCCCCCCCAGCCCCCCTGCTCCGCTGTGCCTGTCAACAATGAGTTGTGGCTTTGAAGTTATGCTTGGGCCCGTTTTTCGAAGTCCCCTTTATAGGGCACAGCCTTGCTATTCTAATCTGAAGTCAAGAAAGAAATGCTCGGGAGTCAATTTTTCACTTCCTTGTCTTTGAAAACGAATGACCGTTAGGCCTGGTTCAAACGTCGCACTTCTCATGTGCCGAACCTAACTCTGTTTGGAGCGACACTTGAGCATGTTTAGCGCGACTCCCGTTTCAAACGTCGAACTTAATTATGTCGCGCCAAATGGGTTTTAGGATTGTTACATGAAGTATCTTGGTTAAGGCACGAAATCTTAAATATTTGTTTGAAACGCATGCGCCCTCCAAGAAAGAAATGAGTTCTGGGAAGGAAAGTAAATTAAATATAATTATGCATTGAGTTCGGTACATGACAAGTTCGACGCTTGAAACCGTGCCGTGCTGGAGCCGTGCAGCTCGGCAAGCTCTGCCGATCCAAACTAGTCTGCCGCTCCTAACTAAATCCGCCGTACCAAATTGATTCAAACGTCGCGCCCCTCATGTACTTAATTCTCGAGTTAGGTTCGGCACATGAGAAGCGCGACGTTTGAACCAGGCCTTAGCCCTATACCCGAAAGGCTGATACAAGCGGCGCGTTTTGTAGACAATGATTTGCCTTTCCCCCAATTGTGCCGACAGATGGCAAAGTGTTGTCGGTCTTCTGTCCATCACCAGTTGCACAATACCGCATGTTGCCATCATTTTAAATGGTTTCTATTTTAAGTAGGCTTCAATATCAGCTGATTTAAATTAAAGTTTTCAAGCAACCCAGATGCTACCTCGCCACAAATGATCAGATATCTTCGGGTAACGTATCCGCAACAGAATGATCATAAACTGTTGCAAATAAAATAGTCAAAAGTATCCCGACGGTAGGGCTTCACATAAAAAATTTTTAACCTCAAATGGAAAATAATTCTGTCAGGTCAACTTAACTTCTCTAATTGGACGAACGATAAAATGCACCCCAGAAGGCTGTAAAAATTAAGAAGCTCATGGGATATCAAAGTTAAAAGGATATTAATTGAATTAATTTGCACCCAGCTTACATTAATGTTTGTAGCCCAGTCCTGGGTTGCTCATGCAGTTTTCCCACGATTTAAGCTTGCAAAGATGGATGAGCCTACCGCAAATGGCTAAAGAGCATTCGCACTAGAACTGAAATCGATCAACTGCATTTGCAACAAGCAATCACGAACATCAGTCGATAACTTGACTCTGTCTAGAACCCAGGGGCAAATCACTCCATGGAAATATTGTACACCTTAGGTGTAAATCCTGTTGTTTTATCTGAGAATTCGTAGCAATCCTGTTGTATTGATGAAAATATCGTTTGGTATTTGCAAGAGTGGATTGTCCCTCGTCTAGTTCAGCATTCTAATTCCGCTAGCTCGAACTTCATAAGCAACGATAAAAATGTTTTGAGTTAACGATTGTTTGGGGTTTCAGGGGTGCGAGCGTCTCGGGGAAGGCTCAAGGGGGATGCAAAGCAGTTAGGGTTATCGAAAATTCGAGACATGGTTTCAAGCCTTCGGGATTATACTGTACTTCGAACAGGCATTATAATCATCATAACAACCTATGCACGTATATTCAATTCAATCGTGCAGCACATCAGTTCGACTACTTGATTTACCGAAAGGTCTCGCAGTTTATACATTACCTAGCACTCAAGGCAAATGAGACAATTCAGGTGTCTTTTGAAGATTTGCAGTGTTGAGAGTTTTTCCCGCTTTCCTAAAATTAAGACCATTGATTACGTCACGTGAACGTGGATTCAGGTAATCGATAGCAAGCTTCGGAAATAAGTGTATTTGCTTTGCTTTCCCTTAAAATCAGCAGGCACTATCTTTCTAGACGTTATCATATAACCCTTTCCTTTTGTTGTTGTTTTCTTAAATCTCGTATTTCTATCTACAGGAAGGGAAGGACTCAAGCGGCATCTTTATATCGAGAATCGCAGAGAATGGTCCAGCAAGCCGGCCAGGCAAGCTGCAGCTAAACGACAGAGTTCTCGAGGTAACGTCCTAGTTTATGCCCGAGGCAATTAGCTATTAAGATTAGCTAGTTCCCATCAAAATTAATCCTTGTTGGGTAAAGTCTCATAATAGAATACAAAGCAACTACCATTGGCTTGACATAGGATATTTCCTCTTGTGGGAAAAGGTGTGGCTGTATGCAAGCTAGTCTCAGGGTTTCCTTAAGCATTCTCCCCAGGTGCTAGATTTACCAGCTCAAAGTTATTGGCTAGAATTGTAGGAGAACATAGTGTTAACCGGTAACTTTAGGAGGAGGATTATTAAGCTTTGCGTCCTGCAACTGTGAGAGATTTCCAACAGAACCAACCGCAATGACCAAATTATGTGGAAACCGGGAGTGAGGCATGCGCAGAATTACCAGCGTCGTCGTTATGTCTCATTTTCTGGCCAGTGGCTCCACTCTGTATATGGCAAGTACTGAATGGAAAGCAAAATGGGCATTGCTTTTCTTTTAGCGGCGCCATATGGATTTTGTTTTAAAAGCGCTGACCAAACGCCATTTTAAAGGACTTTCATATATTATATTAGTCAACCAGAATGATTCGGTTCACTCGTTAGGCCCTTTCCTTTCTCTTTGAAGGAGTTGCAAACCAGTTGAAAATGAACTTTTCTTTGCTCTTCTTAGCTTTTTTTTCCTGGCTCCTCCCATGCAGTTGTCGGTAAACTCCCATAATGCTCTTGACTGCCTCGTTACGAAGTAACGTTTCAACTTCTGTTAGGGGTGGACTTTATAAGAGCACGAAAATTATGCCGTTTTTCTCTTCCAAAAATAAGAAAAATTTTACCAGTTCTGCTTTGTGGTAACTCATCAGATACAGCTTAACTGGTTCGTGGCAGCAAATGCCTGAGGCTTGAGTAGAATAGAAGTGTATATTTGTGTCTAAGCCAGCAATACTGTAAATAGGAACTCAAAGCTCTCGGATGCATTACGGGTGGGCCTGTGTCTAATCATCGTCTGTCCCAATTACCCACAAACCTATCTACACTCTAGTGGATCAAGCGAAGCTTCTGATTTTTTCGTTTTGAATAGTATAAATTACATACTATGCCCCGTTGATCCACGGTTGTGCTTGGATGTTACTCACCCACAAATACCTGTCAGCTTTGGATAGTCTCACCAGTTTTTTAATGAGAACAGCATTTAAGCCTCTTAAGTGACACGTCCTTGTATTAGACCTTTTAACAAGAGAAAAACCGCACTCTCTGTTTTGCACATCACGAAAATGTTTAGCTTTAAGGCATGAAAAAGACAAAAATAATGACGTCAATGATGGAGTTATCTGTGAGGAAATGTGATTCCCTCCTATTCTGTCCCCAGTATTACGACTGTCAAAAAAGACGTGCTACATCTTTCGTCGTGTAAAATCGTTGGTCCGAGACCTTCAATAGACAAAGAAAATTAAACTTCTTTTGGGCTTGATCTACGTTTTAATTGTTTTGTGCCATATTCCTTGCAGTGTTTCTAGGCCATTGTAATTAGAAACAAATAACGTTTGAGTGCTGCTACAATTTACCTATAATTAAATTGACTGTTCGCCTCACATTCTGTCTGAAGTATATTTTAAGTCATCAAGGACTTCTTTATTGAACTTTCAAAAAGGTTGGCAAATATAGTACCTATGGTGCAGTATTCAAATTACAGAAAGACAAATTTCAGAACGTGTGTGGGACTTCTTGAAATTGAATTTAAAGGCATCATAGCCTACGAAAATAGAAACTTTTCAAGCTGTTTGATTTTTACTCGCTACGAAGCTATGTTTTCGAACTTTCTCCAAAGGTCAGAATTCTGACGCTGTTTGCAGACCCTAACGGAAGAATTTTTAAGTAAGACTTTCCCTTCATGTTACCGACAATCATTTTAACTGTTTGATCAGGGGTGTACAAAGAATGCTGGATGCCTTTCTTTAGCCTTGGCAAATATTTTCAGTTCGGATTCAGCTTGCACACTTGTTAATCTTTTATTTGGTGAGAGTGAACAGGATGTTCGACCGTGTAAGGGAATACGCAAATATTGAGCAGAGCTGTTAAGCCCGGAATAAGTGCATTTTACCTCAAAGGGTGTACTGAAACAAAGCCGGGTAGCATTCTGTATAAGCTCTTTTGTCTAATAGCTAGCATAATTTGAGAATCCTCGCTTCGCTTTTCAATAAAGCAGGAATTTGTATGTCACGGCAAGTAAAAAGCCATGGAAAAAACATGCAATCGATATCAAGTCTCAGCTCTAGTTTACTGTTTATTAAGTCAAGTTTAATCTCGCGAGTTCAAAGCAAGAACGATCCATATATCTCAATCATCACTATCTTTTTAAGGCAACATTGCTTTATCCATATGTGCCAAAGGCCCCTCAGTTGAGACTATCAATTTATACTGTGGCACCCAAAATGCTGCTTTTCTCAAATGGATGTAATTTACTGTAACGTGCCCCGATGCTGTTGACTTCTGCCCCAATTCTTCGTAGGCCACCTTTAGGCCTCTCGTGATTTTTGAGACCCATCTCTAGACCTCCCTTTCCTCCTCCGCATTTCACCTCCGCAAGATCAATTGTCGTCACAATCGTCGAATAACCTGGTCAAGACTTGTAGCAAATCTACAGGCAAGCGGACTTGAAAAATTTTTCGATTTACTGGGTTATAATTTTTCAACTTTTCCAGTGGCAGCTCTATCTATCGGCTTTATTTATCGACATCATTCTTATTTCACAGCTTCCTTCCTTCCAAGTTATTAGATGGCCTTCTCACCCTTCAGAAAATCCTTCCCACAATAACAAATATATTTATCTTTAATGTTCTATCTTAACAGAACATCGTACAATGATTCTTAAACCCAATACCACGTTTAGAGGCCAGTTTTGCTACTTGCGTCAATACTTTTTCAATCCGATTCAATCATGTGTAACTTGTTCCAAACTGTAAAATATATATTGTTTCACATTTTATAAACAACCTTGAGGTCAATAACAAGTATACTTGGTAAGAAACAGCCTTCGACTCTTAGCTTAGCCTTTGATATTTGATTAGCGCCTTTTATCTATCGTTTATTGTGCGTTTCAAATACTCAGCCAATCGAATCTTTGGCTTAAGATTGTCGCCATACCGTAAAAACCTCGAACTGATAACTTGTCATTTTTGCCAATAGGAGATCAGAGCAGAGCCAATTTTCCTGCAATGGAATGCATTTTAAAGTTATCATCCTGTCTATCTAACCTCAGCTTGTTCTTAAGAAATAACACCATTGAATGGAGCCAACTCTTTCACTGATTCATGTCTGGATATACTAAAGTCTTAACATCGAATACGCTCAACGCCAACCCCAATGAAGAAGCATGTCTAAAGCAATGATATTATTTGTTAAGCCAGCTGTATATAATGCTGTTAGTACAACGATGTCTGCGGTACCTAAACATGGCCACGCTGATCTCCCTTCCTGTTTTAGTAGGACCATTTTTATGGAACTTCAGCTTAGAGGTCCAGCCTTTGTTCTTAAGATAGGGACAGTGGTATTTTGTACACACAATAGTCTATTCTTTTGAAAATGAGATATATCAACAAACGTATCGCAGTTTTAACTAAAAGGCCATCTTCTATATTTTAAGGGAGTTATGAGAGCTGTCACTTACGATAAGAGATAAAACTCTAGATTTTAGATTTTGATGCGATTTCTAGGCGTTTTAACACCTAGAATTGGATAGCATTTCATTTTATGGAAGGCACTTTTCGACACCTGCCTGTGGTGCTAAAATAATGTCCTTTTCATATCGGTAAAATTCCCAACAGTCAAGCTGGATTTTTTTTTTTATTTTATCACGAGTTCAATGTCCCAGTTACCCAGTGTAACTTTGTTTTTCTAACTGATGCTCAGAATTCTTATAGCAAATCATTGTTGATTTGGAAGGAGCTCTGGCATGGATCTAAAAATGGGTTGCCAATTAGCTTGTTCTCACCCGAAATCCTTTAACCATTATTAAATTAATGTGAAAAGGGTCATCTGATTGTGAAACCGAGATTATCCTTTCTCACCGATGCGAAGGAGATTTGTACGTGTTTGTAAAACGCATCAAAGATCATATGAAATAGAATTATCAAACTCGGATAACAAGATATACTCGCGATTTAGAAAGAGAACGCGAAGTTTATAATTAATCTTATGCGTAATCTTATTTCGAGTATTTATGTCCTGTTCTAGCGGCATACTTTATAGATCTATATACGTTCAGCAAAGATAGTGGATTCAGTGCTTTGATAGAATCCTAGACAGACATTGCATTCAGACAGCAGCTACTCGTACGATAAGCTTAAAGCTTTCGATTCAATGAGAACATGAAATTTTCGTTTGCATTTCAGTGATGTTGCGCAACTGATTTATTGAATAGAAAAAATTTATTAAAACACAATCTATAACGTGGAAATAACTATCAATTTTTTTTAACCAGATATCAAGGCTTTCTACGTTTGCAAAACCATAATGCTAAGCGCCACTGCATTATAACCGAGGCTATATGTGGAAGGCGCGAACGCACGATAACGTCATAATTTTATATTTTTCAGTATACTTCCGAAAACAAATTATCGAAACCTGTTTAATTAAGTTGAGTCCTTTCCTTACTGAATAATAATTTATTCTACAAAGGCGTGGTAACAAAATTTCTGTTCCGCTTAAACCTCATCCTTTTGTGATTTTAAAACCTCATCGAAAACAAACTGGTTAGTCATTTCCCTTTCTTGAATTGAATTGATTACAATCATCTAAATCTCCCCATGCCTTCATTTAGCGACAAACAAGTTGTTGTTACCAACCAAATCCTGTATACAACTCTTCATGGAATTAACTTATCCCAATCGTATCACAGATAAATTGAAATTTGCTAGGAAATCGGCCCAATAACAGTTTTATTCTCGTTCTGTGGCAATCACCCTTTACTGTCCACATGGAGATGAATCCTGTTTTTGTCAACATATAACTGTTTCGCAAATCCTTTTAACACTTCATTAACGGCGCATCAACTATGCAACACGGCCAAGATTAGTATTCATTCGTTTCCAGAGAAACAAAACTATTCCTCATTTTAAATCTATATATCTAAGTTGGTTGCTAAAGCACCGCTCAAAGAGACTTAAAATCTTTTTCTTGTTCAGGCAAATCGCCGTCGGATTTTAATTTAAAATTTTGATTAAGTGCCCCCTGCTGTGTTCCATGGAAGATTTTCTCGTTTGGCTTCATTTTCCTATATTTTTTAGCAGACTCTTAAATTTGCCTTTAAACAGTGTTCTGCAAACGGTTTTCTTGCACAAGTGACCATAGCCGCTGAAATTTGGATTCAAATGAATTTAACCCTCGTATATTCTGTCGTACCTCAATTACCAGACATTAATTAACTATATAGCAAATCTGAACATGCTTTATTCCATTTTCTAGGCTTGGTTTGCAGTCATTATGATATTTCTTCAGAGTTTTGATCTTTCAATTCTGATTTTGCAGTAATAATTATAAAGTAAATTTTCTTTTGAAAATATAAACTTTACCAAAAACTTCAAGAAATACTACGAAATTCACCATTTTGTGCTAGTCAACACTTAAACACGTGTGCAACTGTTTGAATGGCATGAAGTTTGCTGCATCAAACGATCCATTTTTAAGCAATGTGCAGCAGTTGCATCGGTTGCATGAAAACACGGTCTTTTTTGTTTTGTGTATCCTTGAGATGCTCGAATGAGCTTATCTAGCCGGCACTCTCTGAAAGCAGAGTTTGTTATGCATTGCAAATAAGATGATACGTTTAGCAGATTTAGCGTCCGACATCGATCAATGATACAAGCTTGTATTTTTTGAGGTATCCTTTTAATGATGATGCATTTCCGATGCCTGATTAGATTTCCAAGTTGTAGTACAAATTATACCCGGCATTGAAATGTGTTCGTCCTATTCGGATACAAGCATTTGAATGCATAGACAATACTTGATTTAGGTATAGACATCACAATTGCCTTTGAAGCCTTTGGTTTTGTCTGTCCCGTTTAAGAAGTATTATCTTGTACCGATTTCCGCATTCTGGCTTTAATCACCATAAGCTCCCAATCCATTCCTAACAACAAAAAGGATGTGTTGGTGTGCAATTTTTAATTGTGATATCGAATCAGTGCGTTTTGCTACAATTTATGGCCTAGAAAGGCTGATTTCTACTTATTGCAGATACATTTTTTTTTCAATTTTGGTTTGTGATTTTCCACAATGTACATAAGGCTTTCTTCTCAAACCTAGCTTTATAATTCTTCCCCTGCTTACTACTTTTCATATCAGGACACCTCGAAAACAAGTGTGTTGACTTGCCTATACTTTTAAAAGTTTTGTAGTCACGCGACCTAATTGAGAGTTCAGTTGCTTTGTGTTCTACGTTTTACAATTTTTGACACTTGTTCACTACATTTTTGCAAAGCATAAGTTAATGCAAGTTACGACAATTCTTATTTGTATTTTTCTTTAATCCACAGGTCAATGGTCAAGACCTTCGTAAAGCAACACACGAAGACGCTGTTGAAGCGTTCAAAAATGCTCATGGTATGGTTCATCTACTGTTGCGACGGGACGTTGCGATGGACAAGCGAAAGTGGAACATCGCAACACAAACTGACTGTTCAAAGTCCTGCGAGTTGACGGATTCGGCGGTAATGTCGTGTAGTGAGGCAGAAGAAAGCCTCCTTTCGGTTTCGGGAAATAGCAAAGCCGATGGTCCGGCAAAAAGCGATCTTTACGACTCTGCTTACGACACATTACTTACGCAAAGATCATCGCGAAGCCATCGAACTTATTGCATGGATGGGTCGGTTTCGCCTATCGTTGATGCATTACAAGAACCGAAAGATGTTTCGTCTGAAAGTTGCGACGATGTCCGAACTATTACGCCTTCCACCGTTATCAATGGATATGGAAATACGTCACCGGGGGCCAGAGCGACAGCAACAGGAATTCGAAGTGGGTCAACGAGCACTGACGATAGCCTCAGTCCGGTGCATGAAGTTAAACTGAGGCGAAGCAAAAATGATGACAACTCAAGTCCGAGAAAGGTCATCAGAAGAAGCACGTATTTTTTGGTGGATGAGTCTTTAAATGGGTCAATATCTTCGATCATCAACAGTTTGTCCGAGGAGAGCAAGGTGTCCGTAGAAAATGCCAGTACTGTGACATCAACGTCGAATGACCTCGATATTGAATATGAATATGAATACGAGGTTTGTTTACCTGCTAATGAAATATAATGCTCTTTTTCTATACTCGCTTCACACATTTTTTAGTTTACTCATTAGAATAATTCCTTTCTGCTTTGCTAAATAATGGCTAGGTCCTCAATTAGTGCCCTTATACAAACCAAATCCTTCCTCTATATTTCTTTGCTTTAATAATCAACAAGGTCAGTGTAAATGAATTTTATTCGCACAATTCGTGAGAGATTTGCTTGCATTTGACCTCCTTGTTCCTTGAGAGCAGGGCGAAGTCACATTCTAGACTTGTTTGTTCCTTTGCTAGATAAAGCTTTTAACTTCACCGAGTATAGCTATTGACAAAGCAAGGGTCACTATTGTCAGCTCAATGGAAACATGCCAAGGATCATACCCCTTCTTGTAAGAGTTTCGTCATTTGAGCTTTGACGTTCATTATGAGTTTTTCATCACGATGAACCATGTCTTTCTTGACAATAAGCACCATAAGCACCTGACGGATAAAGGGGTTGCAAGCCAGAATAATGGCCTTCTTAAATCTGAGAGGCATTTTTAGAGTAAGGGGCATTTATCAAGTGGCATTATCCTTGCCGAGGTCCCTGTTAAGATCCTATGAACTATTGAACATTTTAACACAGTTCAAGCTTAGTTACTGCTCACCTCAATATGCCAGCTGTCTGTTTTTAACCCATTCCGACATTACAATGAAAAATCCTATTTTTGTTAATGATACAATCGTAAGCTGGCCGTTTTAAATGATCTTTTTAGCAGCTGAGTGTAAAATTAGAATGACTTTTCATTCATTCAAACATGTTCATTGTTGATGTATTGTAGGCAATCTTCTTCTCTTCTCAATGATGAATGTTTGTTCATGTTCGCCTCTTAAACCCTTCTTTCTTGTCTAGCAATGACGTCACAGTTTATGCTTCTTTAGGCATCTGAAGACTGTTCATCCTAATTGTGACAATAACACAATTCTTTGATATTTATCCGCACCGAATTAGCTTATTGTCTGACTATTATTCGCAGTGGCCCATCTCACTAATTATGTTAATTATTCGCAGCAGATGATTCTGTATAAGACTTTTTCTTGCTTTTTCTATGCAATTTTGAAAACACGCAGACCACCCTCTCTGACAACTACCAATAGTTTGGTATGAAGCCACTGTGGTGTCCCATTATTGCTAGCTAAAATCACCCTTGTCTTCCACAAAGTTTGCAGTGTCATTTTGACAAATTTGTCTGCAGTCGTTACATTCTCTTTTTCTTGTTGTTATTTAGAGCCCTGGAATATAGACTAACATCAAATCTCATCATTCATCTAAATTCACTACGTTGGCATTTGCAATCTAGATGCCTCGCCTCATATCTCTTGCAAGCAGATGCACATGTGCAATAATCTTAGATCTCTATTTGCATTGGCGGCCATTTTGAAGTACCTTTGCCTCTGTGTTGATGCAGTGTTTTTGAAGTGCAAGAATTAACGGCTGTTTTGTGTCCATGGCGACATGTGTTATGGCTTTAAGTAAAGACCATTTAATTCTTAAAGATTTGACATGGAATTTAGTAATGTCATTGCACCCGAGGATATGCTTCAGAATTTTGGCACTTACCCAGAAATAAGTCCTGTGGCTATTGGCTTTTCTTGCTTTTCTGTATTCAAATAATTCTTTTTCTTTTGGAGTTATTTGCACTTCTTTTCTCTTGATTTCGTTAAGTTTGCACTAAAACAGAGGCAAGAATCAAATGAAACAGAAGACGGAAAACGGAAATGTTATCCGTTTAGCCCGTCTCATGTTTAGACCTATCTGCTGGTCTAGAGGAGTAGCAAAAGTTTTGTTGACACCTAGAGATTTATTTCAAAAAGGTTGTTCATGGGTAATAAGAATGCAGTTGACGTTGGCATCGAGGGTTTCCATAATGCCTTGTACATTTACCCAGTCGTTTCAACATCTGTTATAAAGTATCGAAATACCCCTATCCGTTGAAAAGTGTCGGAACACCCCCACCCCTCTGCCATAGATAAATTTTTCATCATGGGGGTTCGTTACTGATAGTTTTATTCTTGAAATTCTGATCTTTATCCTTAGTTACACGAATTGTTGCTTTTCCTGCTGACATTCTAACTCTCAAAACAACATTTTAAATCCATAATGGTCAGCGTGGTTGGCGGTTTTTATTTACAACACTTGAATAAATAAACCCGCAGTTTCTAAATAGAGGTCTCAAAACATAGCGTTTAAAACACTTGATGGTTTTTCATTGTGGAATTTATTTATTTCTACTGTCAATAAAGTGTATCTATTTATATGCCTCTATTTTACATAGCTTATTCTTCGATATTGTATTATCCAACTAGTGTGGTCGTTCTTGAAATATCTTCCCATGCTTTTTAAATCCTCGCGTTGTGTTGACCACCATCGCCATATCAGCACAGGCACACTGGAGAGAAGACCCTAACCTCTCAACTAGTCCCTCGGAATCCAAACCCTACGACGTCAAAGTGTAAGAGTCCTGATTTTGTCTTGCAGGAGATCATGTTGAATAAGATAGGCAAGGAGTTTGGCATCTCTGTTGGTTATGGTGGTGAAGAAGATGAGCTTGGCGTTTATGTTCTAAGGGTAAGCATCTCCTGAAGATATTCGTATTTTTTCTTACGAATCAAGGCCAGTCGCAATACAGTGCCTAGAGAACGGTATCGGATTAGCATTGCTTTAAGAACATATTGTTTGCTCTGGGTGAAATGCGCGCACGGCTTTCTCTCTTCGTCTTTGCTAATGAGTAAGCCGCCTTTTAGTTAGACTGTTTGACAAAACCCTGAGCAAACAGCAAACAGCGAAATTGGCTTAATAATTACTTGTGCTTAATCTTGCAGATGTCTCGATATCTTAGACTCAATATACGTCCTCGAACCGTCTGGCTCTCTCGGGAGCCTTGATAAGCTTAAAATGCGATCCCTTACACACACTCGGTCTTTAACTTCAAAAGATAGCTATGGATTTCTCCAGCGATCTTAATTTCAGGTATGGTTTTTTAAAGCAAACCCATCTTGGATCAAAAGCTAATTTATGCCAGAGAGGAAGAAGGCTCAAGCCTAGCTTAGAACTAAAAAGAGCCGAAACAAGCCTGCTTTTGATGTGTCTCAGTCACCTGCACCAGGTTCACAAACGTTTTACCAACATTTGCTCACGTTCATTTCAGTCATTACCGTGCAAAGCACACGTCAGTGTAATGAGAGCACACTTCTATCAAAACAAGAGATTTCTCACCTTAAATAAAGCAACTTTTTCAATGCCTAAGCATTTAGCCATCGTGAAAAATGTTTAGCTTTTTTGTTCAGAACTGATAATACATTTGTCCGAACAAGGAATTTGTTTTTGTGGACATGGAGCTGCGGTAAAAAAGATCCCTTGTCCCTGAGAAATATTTGATTTAAGTGAGAAAGCATACTTGATCAACCCACGTTAGTCTAACCACCCGCTTCAAGTTTCTAGATCCTCCATGTAGAATTTGATTTTACTCTTGTGCGACCTCTCCTGTGGAAATTTTTGAAAATGAGAAGGGGTTTTAAGGCAAATCAGATTCTGGTAAACTTTTCATTGGATTCGCGTTAACCTTGTCAATGTTTCGACCACAGATTGCAATCCTAGATTATAAAGCCAAGGAAAACCGATTAATTTTACATTCTGAAGAAAACAATTCGATAAAAAGTTCGATATTTTCGTCATTTTGGTATTTATATGTCAAGAATGCTAAGTCCATCCGTCACTAATTGCTGTCCAATATAAAGCTTCAAAGTTGAAAGGAATCAAACTTGGTTTTTTGTTTCCTTTCTGGTTCTTAAATGTCAAATGTTTGAGGCCATCCATCAGTTTTTAAGCCTCAGAGATTGGGGCGCTGATTAAATGGTATTACAAATTTGAAAATATCGACCTCTAGGTTTCGTATTCTGCGAGTCGGTGGGTAAGGTTTCAAGTCAAAATTACTTTGAGGGCAACATCGACGAAATTATGGATCAAAACAAACCGTACATGTATATTTTGTTACTGCCCTGTGAATGGATGTTCTGTGACGTTGTTGAACTTTATTTGATTCTAGACAGATTAGACCTAGAATACATGGTGGTCATTTTCAACCCATAAAGAGTTTGTGTAGCCAAATGTATCACAAAATGCCTCCTTTAATGTAGGTTAATTGCCGGGTCACAACTGCAAGGTCACTTTCGTGTTTGAATGGTTGCATTCCATAAGGAACCAATGTTGTCTATAACTCGATCCCTGATTTATTAGGCATCAAGATTTGGGAATCATAAAACTGTTTGAATCACCTATACTTGGCACCTAATTTTTATCAAAGAGAGCATATAGTCGAAGTAATCCCTACTCTAGAATAGGGCGTAACAGAAAACAGCAACAGATTAAGGGCTATATGTCACATCACACCTCCTAGCAATCTACATGCCTTGCAATACTTTTTCAGGCACATATAGACGAACATCTCTCTCCCTCTAGCCATCGATCTTACATATCAAGTAATTTCTATTCAGACAGGCATGGGGGCTCGTGCATCCTTCAACTGCGTTAATCCCACCCTGCCCTGTATCATACGAAGATCCTGTTCAACTGAAAATGCCTTTACTTTTTAACCAACACTGATAGTAGAAAGACTGATTATTCATTTGGAAGTAATTTAACCAACGTGTTCCTTATCCCATATCAGACCTTTAGATTCTGTCATCATTTCTGTGGCTCTTGTTGTTTTTTCTATCATCCACGGTTACTTTTGGGACTATACCTTTATCTTTGCAAGAGTCGACCATCTATAAGAACTTTTGCAACTGTTTTCGGTATTGAGTGAAGAAGTGATGTGGCTGTTAGAAGAAATTATACAGACACTTCGAGCAATCATTGTGAAAAGGCTTTTTGGCATTGACTGTTAATCATTTCTACAAATAGATAATCCATTCTTAATATACTTTAGACTTGGTGCAATGTTTTTTTATATTTGTGGCAAGTAAAAGCACTCGACTTTTACAGAGTTAGGCTGTTGATAACTTTTTATTTTTGAATAAAGTTAGATCATTTCGGGTTTACCCTCGGGCTTATCACTGAATTTTGTATAATACCCCATCGTTTTCTTGTGTGTCAATTGAATTCTGCTTTGAGACATGAGATTTGAGACTTCCATATCTTTAAGGCGTTGACCAGTTTCAAAATATCTGCCCACATTTCACGCAGAAGGTTTTTTTGCAATGACATGTTTAGAATTCACTAATGCCTTGAATTGAGACATCAGTGCCTGCGGTCGATAAGCAAACACAATTCACCTCGAAATATATTTTCCTATTTTGCATTCTCTTTTCCTCTTGTTTAAAATTCAGTCGTTAAGCAGCTATGAATAAAACCATGAGATATTTAGCATTTTGTAAGAATTTGCAGTAAAATGAATATGCCTGAATTATACATCCACGTTCAGGACTTGCAAATCTATCAACCCCTTAATCTACGAAACTTGCGTGCTCTTGTGATATTGCAAATTTATTACCTGTAAATTGTCTCTCAAAATTCACAGCATTCGTTGTGGAATAACGTGTTTAATTGCCTTTGGATATAAATCCATCTTGAGGCATTAGCAAGTCGTATCTCAACCATCACCTCGCTCCTTGTCCCACGGAATGTGTCCTTGTCCCGCGGAATGTGCGCCGATTAGCTATCAGATTTTCATAGCTTTGGGGTTTGAAGCCTAATACAACTAGACAACGTTCTCTGAAACAAATCGTGTTCTTCTGTTGATAATCATCTCCCCTAGATACAAAGATAAAATTTAGATAGCATGACTATAAGCTTATTTAACTCCGTGGGGTCTTATTCCCTGTTAACTTTTGTGTTACAGTTTATAGCAATTTTGAGTACTGTTCTTATCGATTTCAATTTATTTATTGTATGCGAGTAACGTGAGCGATTCTTTTGAAGGTTGAACCTGGATCTTCTGCTGAAGTTTGTGGAAGAGTGATGGTTGGGGACCAAATTGTTCAGGTAAAACTCAACTGTTCGATTGCTATTTCCAACTGCTGCCTAACACGTGACCTTCTCATATATCCGTATCGTAAATACCCTACCTGGCTAGATTTTCATCTGGTCAACCAATTATGAATTGGGTACCAGGCTTTTTAAGCAGGGGATTAACCTTTTACCAGAACGTAAGACACCTCTCGCAGTAGTCTATCTTTTGTCAATAGGACCCATCAATGTCACTCAAGCTCGAAATTTCAAGTTTACAAAAAAACTTGAACACCATTTTGGGTGAATCAAGAACACCATTTTGCGCAATGAGCATTACTTTCCTATTTCAGCCGAATCCGAAGGGTAATTCACTATTGCGCGTAGTCTACGAGATTTCCACTAACACAAAGGATTTCCAGCGACTTTCTAACGAAACAATAGGGTAACCATAAAAGGTGTGTGAGATTTACATGGAGTGCTTTGGCCCTCGAAATGAAGGATGACCCATTTCATTCTGTTCGAAATCACAAGGAGAAAATTTCTTAGCCCACGTAATCTAGTGTGTAAATAGTTGCCTGGTGTTTCTGGGACAAGATAACTTTCCAATTAGTATTGTCATCCTTCACATAAGTTGTTTGACACAACGCAGCACTTCCTGGAGTTCGTCTTCTAAAATGGCCAAGTGTTGCGCTTGTTATTGTGTCTCTGTTAGATGTATTAAAGCTTCATGTCAAATTGTGAGCCCTTCAAGCAATATCGTCTTTCCGAGAAATTTCATTATCCGGAAGCTCTGTGAAGTGCCATTTTTGCGCCACGTGATCATAAACTTCTCTTGAGCCGAAATCAGCAAGAGACCTTGTTTTGATAGGAAAATAAAAGACTTTATCCTTTGATAACAAACAGCAGGCTTAAAATCATATGCGAAGTTATTTTGAACTGGTCACTGAAACAAAGATGAACGTTTTATTTGCGTGGATGAAAAGGGTATTTATTTCTCTTCTATTGTCAAATCTGGTTATCTATTTCAGAAAAAACTTTTTGGAAAATTATTTTATTGACCTGGCCTTAAGCGTTTAAACTCATTGCATCTTCAGAAATTTGAATACGACTAACGTTTCCTGATTTTCAGCTTAAACATGCTTACTTGATAACTTTCTTAGCGCCGTAATTTTTTTCGATTCAGTAATGTCGATTGGATTATTGACTTATTCACAGGAATACTTCAAATTTTTGTTATTAAGTGTTTCTGTAATGTCACGATCGATTGCCTATTCATGGCTTTGGATTTCATCCTGACAAAATAACCACAAATGGAACCCGTTTAAATTGGAATTGAATTTACTGGATAGTTGTTAATAGTTCAGCTTTAGTTAGCAGTTAAACGTTATTCTTTTTTGACAGGCAGAACGGGCTGTTTTTGATATTAACTTAATCCAAGGGAATACGATATTTTTCATAGACTGTTAAACTTTGTGTCGACGAATTGAAACAAAATGTCATAATTTAGTTGATAGTATATGAGAAATATGAAGCCTACACTTAAAGGTTCCATGCCCTTTGTTCCTTTTTGATAAGTTTCTGTTGTGACTTGCTTTAGTAGAAGCCTTGCACCTTTATCAGTTGCAAGATTACTTTAATTCTTATTATTTGTAATCGCTTTACTTATTGTGTTCCGTTTTGTCTCTACAGATAAACAGCTCACAAATTCGAACCGTGAAAGAAGCGAATAGAATTCTCCAGGAAAATGATGAGATCAAATTGCTTGTGGCTCGTTCGGTCACAGAGGTTAGTGTGCATTGGTTACGTACTTAAAGCCTTGAAATTTAGAATCATCTGTCTCTAGTTTAGTGGCAAATGCCCCCAATTAAACCCATTTGCTAGGGATTTGCCAGGAATGATATTGAACCATGTCTCCAGAACCAAGACGCGCATCAATGGAAGTTGCCATATTGTAGCAAAACGTTGGCCTATTAGAACTTTTGGTTGTAAACATAGGGAAACTTATGGGTTTTGTTCCTCTGTATTCAGACCATGAAAAGCTGAAAAACGGTCATAAAAACACGTGCTATGTAGTGAAACAGATACTCGTTGTCACGCTTTGGTTTTTTCTTAATGATTGAACTACAGACTGGCTAAATTGTCTACAATTCCTTTTTGTGCACCTAGGCGCATATTTTGAGACTGTACCACTCAATATAACATGCTTTGGAAATTCCACTCCGGTTGAAACATTATTTGCAATTTTCACCAATATGATTGATTGCCAATATGCATTGTTTAGGACTTGGTTTTTATGCAATGACAGGCTATAAAGCCAAATTTTTGCTGGTGCCAATTGTACTGTTACCTTGTGACATGTTGTCTCTGACGTCATTAAGAACTTGCGAGTCACATGTCTTACGTGATCTCGGAGTTGCTTGCGTGATTTGCGAGCTACAAAATAAGCCTCTGCAAAGTCAACTGCGACAATGAAATGACTGGGTGAACACCCGATTGAGCAGGCTGCGGTCTATAGTTATTAATTAAAAATAGTCTTAAGTGTTTGATAAAACCTGTGGTAGACGTGATAAAATTGATCTTTGCCTGATTAAACGAAAGTTTAGGACATTTCCGAGTGCCTTTAGACCCCATTCTGAGTAGCACATCTTATTCTGTTTCCTGCAATGACCACAGCAAGATATACTTTCTAGATCACGAAATTGTTTTCCTAACTCCATAAATACTTGTTGAACACATCTGGATTTGCACCAAAGTCGAGCAGCATTGAAAATAGAAGGATTGCCAGCCCGTTTGAGTAAGAAATGAACGACCACAATTGTCAACTGTCGACTAGATACAGTGGCGTTTGAAACTTTGTTTTTGAGCAAAAAATTGTGGTGATTGATAAGATCGTAAGGTCATTGCTAGGGTCGAGAACTCCTACTGACACAATTATAATACACAACATTTGCTGAATTCATTTGGTTTAGTAATATCAAGTTATGAATTTATGAGAAATTAGTTTTCTAATCAGCAAGCCGCGCCTAATGAATCTTATTATCATTTCAATATTTCAGTGATTATGTTTATCTGTCAGGATATCCTTTGGCGACTGGTCGATGTTTTTCTATCCTGTTTTGCTGCTAAAAACGGCTGCCTCTTCACACCAGTTTCTGTTTTCATGTCGATTATTCTAAAATATCACCAAAAGTAAACAGAGCTCTTCCTATGTCCCGTAAAAGATTTAACCTACCCATTATTTTGACATTCGGGGCTGGGTTATCTGTTTGGGTTAAGTTTACTCCTACAATGTCTTTCTTCTATTTTAGAGGGATCGCTTGTTTCCATACCTCACTTTTTTAAACAACTTTAAAAGGCTGTAGTCAAATGGCTTCAAGTGTCTTTATTATCGTTGAAAAAACTCTTTTTTGCATGGCGATTTTTATGAATACATGTATAATCCAAAAAACATGTTATTTTGAAAATTGTAATACAATGAACAAAGCTATAACTATCAGTTTGTTAATTATTGCAATTATTTGATTAATAATGTTTTTCCGTGTCTCTTTGTAGGTCCATGATCAAATTCCAAATGGTTTGAAATCTAATTCCGTAGAAAACCAGTTAAATACTTTAAATGAAGCGCAAAATGAAATGGATTTAATATCAGATACAACGGAAGGGAGCACAGTGATTGAGCCTATTGACAGTTCATCCAGCGAACGGGCGTGCTCTAACGGGAGCCCAGAGGAGCCTGGATCACCACAGGCGCATAATATGACGAAAAATTCCTGTTTAGTGCAGGAAACTATGATGGATTGTAATAAAAATTTGGAAAATGGGAATAAAAAGCAAGAGCGGAAAGTTGAGCTGAAAGACGATGTGAAATTGACCTTAAAGGACTACGTTATGTCGCGATTGCGCGGTCACGAAAAAATTAAATCAAAAAGGGGTGATAGTGACAATGCATCGTTGCATGATGTTTCAAAAGACAGGACGCTGGAACGTAAAAATGCAAAGGATTCAGACTTAGAAACGCCTAAGTCGCAGCGAAAAGACTGCCAAAAGAACAATAGTTTGAGTCGCAAACAAAAGCTTGTAAATGACAGTTGCAGTCCGGTTAGGACTTCTGACTGTTCTACCGCGTCTCCAAATCACGTGATGCGACAAGGCAAGCCAATGAGATCTGCAATGAGAAAAGAGTCGATGAAAAACAAAAGCCCTAAGCATGTGCGCGTGGATACAAAAACTGATTGGACTGTTACTGAGAAACGTGTGTGGGAGGAATTCAAAATTATTCAAAATATGGAAGCTGAAGAGGGCAAAGGTCAAACAGGGCTTGAGGCCGAGTGGAAAGTTCGAAGGTCAAAGGACGGCAAACACATTTATATTCGTAAACAATCGAGTAAACCAAATAAATCTCGTTTTTTAAAAGAAAGAGCTGAAAGACTCGTAGCAGAGAGGACGGGAATAACTACGGACGATGACGCAAACACGATTTATTTAGGAAAATTCTGGAATAAGGAAGAGCGTAAGCGACAATTATTAAGGCACAGGCTGAAGCGTGAAAAACTGTTAGAACGCCAGACGGCGAAAAATTCTGTGCCCCCAAACCCAATGGACAGTGTAATGGCTGATATCGTACAGAAGCGAATGACAGCCCCGGGTCATGTTTTTGATGACTTTTTAACAGTTGAAGAGATATTAACCCAGAGAAATAAAGACGGATTTCTGCAAGGGCCTATTCATGTAACAACGGTATAGGCGAATTATTTACCACTTAATTTCGCTCAATTCATGCGATGGACGTTTGAACAAGTGAAGAAGGACTTTTGTTGTTTTTCTTTAACACAGAAAAATCCAGAAGGGACAAGTTGCAGCTCAGTTGAGTACCTCGGTGGTTACCAAGCGACATTACTCAAATCACGAAGTCAGTGTTTCTGCCCGTCTTTGGTGTTACCCAACCGCGGTTGTTTTCCGCGAAACCTCGAATGCAGCTTTTTGGAAGGAGTTTGTTTATCCCATGAATGAATTGTCATTGGGTCGGTAGCAAACAGTCATTCACACGCGGGTTGGTACCAAACAGTCATTCACACGCGGGTCGGTACCAAACAGTCTTGTGTTTGCCGCAGACGCACGGGATTTTGTTGAAGCAAAACTGGTTCCTTGTTGTTTTTAAAACATTGTTAAATTATGATGAATTTCTGTCTTATTTCCTATATTCATTATATATATAAATATATATATTGAAATATTTTTCTTAATTAAATTGAGCTTGTAGAAGGGTCTTGACACATTCAACTCAATATGACATATGACATTCAACTCAGAGACATGCGTAATATCCCTCTAAGAAAATTTTTCAGTCGACGCCTTTTCATCAGAATTTGTTAAATCCCAGTGTACTCCTACACTCTCTTTGGAGGGTTTCTAAAGCGTCTCAAGACCGTTTTCCTGTGGGTGTATTGAGGTCAGCCCGTTATCATTGTGGCTCTAGCTTTAAATGTGTCACGAAATAGAATATCCACTACTAATGCGGATATGGGTTGTGAGACGTCGCTAACGAAAGATGTAAGGGCATTAATATAGTAATAGCTTGGGATAGCAATAATTCGTAGGACGTTTGGAGAGCAGCACGATTCATTTGACAAGGCTTAGTGATCAGTGCATAAATTAGTTTGTCACTAAACGCGAGAAATTAAATTCTAATGTATTGTTGTAGTCTTAATGTTGCTTAATTCTTCTTTTGTTAACACATAAATGACGAAATATAGCGAAATTATATGTAAATAGCGACGCAAAATTTAACAACTGTTAAGATCCGTATACGATTCAAGCCTGTTTATTTCGATTCAACTTCCAAGTTCTTATTACGGCCAACCCGTACTCCAAACTAATCGTCAAAAAGTAAGGCTATCGCATTAGCGAAAATCACTATTTTTGATGAATTTTTTTCAATAAAGTATCATCTCACTACAGTATTTGCCTAAAAAGGCAATGTAGAAAGTTCTTCCTACTGAAAGGCAAGACTTTCAGGCGTTTTTTTCCTTGTTTTTATACCATTGATATTTTCGTCCAAAGGTAAAGCTATAGGATTAGCAAAAATCACGATTTTCGATGAATTTTTTCTCAATAAATACAATCATGTAAAAACAGTATTTGCCTCTAAGGGCAATTAAGACTGTTCCTGCTGCTCAATGGCAGTGATTTCTGGCCTTTTTCTTGTTTTTATCTCCGTGAAATTTTCGTTAAAAAGTAGGGCTATAGGTTTAGGAAAAATCACGATTTTTAATGAATTTTTATTCTAATAAAAACAATCATTGAAAGACAGTATTGCCCTCTATGGGCAATGTAGACTGTTCCTCTTGCTCAATGGAAAGGATTTCTGATATTTTTTCTTGTTTTTATTTCCGTGAGATTTTTGTCCAAAAGTAAGGTTATAGGCTTAGGAAAAATCACAATTTTCGATGAATTTGTTTTCCAATAAAAACAGTCATGTAAACACAGTATTTGCCTCTAGGGGCAATTTAGACTGCTCCTTCTCCTCAATGGAAGGGATTTCTGATATTTTTTTTTATCTCAGTGAAAATTTTGTCAAAAAGTAAGGCTATAGGCTTCGGAAGAATCACAATTTTTAAAAAAAAATTTTTTCAATGAAAAAAATCATATAAACACAGTTTTGCCTCTAGGGGCAATCTAGACTGCTCCTCCTGCTCAATAGAAGGGATTTCTGATTTTTTTTCTGGTTTTTATCTCCGTGAAATTTTTGTCAAAAAGTAAGGCTATAGGCTTAGGAAAAATCACAATTTTCGATGAAATTTTTTTCCAAAAAAAACAATTGTGTAAACACAGTATTTGCCTCTAAGGGCAATTTAGACTGTATTCCTTGTTCAATTGCAAGACATCCTGCCGTTTTTTTCTAATTTTTATCATCGTGAAACTTTCCTCAAAAGTAAGACTATAGGCTTTGGAAAAATCACAATTTTTAAAAAAAAATTTTTTTCAATAAAATCAAACATGTAAACACAGTTTTTGCCTCTAGGGGCAATCTAGACTGCTCCTCTTGCTCAATGGAAAGGATTTCTAATATTTTTTTCTTGTTTTTATCTCAGTGAAAATTTTGGCATAAAGTAAGGCTATAGGCTTAAGAAAAATTATGATTTTTGATTAATTTTTTTTCTAATAAAAACAATCATGTAAAGACAGTATTTTCCTCTAAGGGCAATTTAGACTGTTCCTTTTGCTCAATGGCAGGGCTTTCTGGGCATTTTTCTTGTTTTTATCTTAGTGAAATTTTTGTCAAAAGTAAAGCTATAAGCTTAGGAAAAATCACGATTTTTAATGAATTTTTTTTGCAATAAGAACAATCATTTAAACACAGTATTTGCCTCTAAGGGCAATTTAGACTGTTCCTCTTGCTCAAAGGCAGGGCTTTTTGGCATTTCTTTCTTGTTTTTATCTTAGTGAAATTTTCGTCAAAAGTAAGGCTATAAGCTTAGGAAAAATCACGATTTTTAATGAATTTTTTTTGCAATAAGAACAATCATTTAAACACAGTATTTGCCTCTAAGGGCAATTTAGACTGTTCCTCTTGCTCAAAGGCAGGGCTTTTTGGCATTTTTTTCTTGTTTTTATCTTAGTGAAATTTTCGTCAAAAGTAAGGCTATAAGCTTAGGAAAAATCACGATTTTTAATGAATTTTTTTTGCAATAAGAACAATCATTTAAACACAGTATTTGCCTCTAAGGGCAATTTAGACTGTTCCTCTTGCTCAATGGCGGGGCTTTTTGGCATTTTTTTCTTGTTTCTATCTCCGTGAAATTTTCGTCAAAAAATAAGGTTATAGGCTTAGGAAAAATCACAATTTTTGATGAATTTTTTTTCAATAAAAACAATTATGTAAACACAGTATTTGCCTCTAAGGGCAATTTATACTGTTCCTCCTGCTCAATGGAAAGGATTTCTGATATTTTTTCTTGTTTTTATTTCCGTGAAATTTTTGTCAAAAAGTAAGGCTATAGGCTTCGGAAAAATCACAATTTTTAAAAAATTTTTTTTTTCAATAAAAACAATCATGTAAAGACAGTATTTGCCTCTAGCGGCAATTTAGACTGCACCTTCTGGTCAATGGAAGGGATTTCTGATATTTTTTTCTTTTTTTTATCTCCGTGAAATTTTCGTCAAGAAGTAAGGCTATAGGCTTAGGAAAAATCACAATTTTCGATGAAATTTTTTTTCAAATAAAAACAATCATCTAAACACAGTATTTGCCCCTAATGGCAGTTTAGATTGTTTTTCTTGCTGAAAGTCAAGACTTTCTGGCCTATATTTACTTGTTTCTTTTCAGTAAAATTTTCATCAAAAAGTAAGGCTATAGGCTTAGGAAAATTCATGATTTTCAATGAATTTTTTTTCAATAAAAACAATCATTTAAACATAGTGTTTGCCTCTAAGGGCAATTTAGATTGTTTTTCCTGCTGAAAGGCAACATTTACTGACGTGTTTTTTTCGCTTTTAAATCAATCAGAGTTTCGCCAAAAAGTAAGGTTTATAATCTTAGGAAAAATCACGCTTTTTTATGGCCTCTTTTTTCATAACGTTTATCTTTGCAAAATTTACTCCACAAAATTCAAACAAACTGTGTTTTTACTTTGAAATGGGATTTCTTTGTGCTAATTTCTAGGTTTTAGCCTACTGACATTTTTGTCAAAAAGAAAGACTATACTATAGATTTAGGAAGAATCAAGAATTTCGACGGTCTCTTCTTTCCATAAATATTTTTTTCGTAAAATAGTACACGCCTGAAAAGACCAGATTGGTTTTACACCATAAAGCGAGATATTCCGACACCAAGTTCTATTTTATTACAGACTAAAATCTTGATTATATCCTACACTATAGGTTTTCAAGATAAGTTTGGTTTGTTTATATCAGTAAAAACCTTCTTCTTAACATTTCTATTCTTGTAAACGGTCAATTGGATTAATTCCATACCTAGAAATGAAACTCACTTTCGACATTTCATGGGTTCCCCGAAATAAACATTTGCAATAAAGTATGTATCTAGCTTAGGTAAAAACTACAATTTTCAAAGGTTATGTTTTCTATAATTTCTTTCATGCAAACATTGTTAAACACTTGCATAGACCATTTACGCTGTTTGTGAAGTTAGAAATAAGATTTTTATGGTTCCTGTTTATCAGTTTTTTCAACTGATCTAATCAACGATAAAAAGGTTTAATTGTGTCAATAGACTATTAATTTTTCTTTAGTCTGTTTTGAAATCGATTGCTTTGTGTATCTTCATGACATTTCTTAGAGAAGTATTTTCAACATAAAGTAAGTCTTTGGCAAGATTAACGGTTTCAAAACCAATTAGGTAGTACCAAGATACTGGGTATATGTTAACATTTTATATTTTTGTTGCCAATCTCTACGTAGAATTGCAAAATATAAACCAGAAAAATGTCACCTCTTCTAGAAAACTAATCGATTTTTTTCAAGGAAAATGCCTTTTCTAATAAGGAAAGTTTCCTTACAGCACCAACGTTGGTTTCGTTTTATAACTATGGAGTTTATGCTTTTCTACAGTATAAAATCTTTTAATGCAAGTAGTTTTAATGCTATCATATTTTAAGTTCTATTGCAATTTTTATAGACATTTAAACTTTGATATATATGCAGATATTTTTTTTCAAATTTTAGAGCAATAACGAATAGACTAATAACATAATTTCTATGTTATAAGAGCTTAAAATTTTAGGACAAGGATTATTACTGCATTATCTGGTTAAATTCTTCAAACAATGGCAAACCAGGAGCTATGATCACCTTATTAAATCTGGTGATTTGAGCACTTCCTTTCAATAGATTCTCTTAAAATCCACGTTATAGTAATTAATGAGGAATGTTTTTCCTTTAGTATTGGGCAGATAAAGCCACAAAGTTTGAGTAATCTTGCCGAGCGCAAAAATCTTACTTCATTGTCTATTTTTGTGTTGCATTTTTATCAAAAGATCAAATCAGTTAACAAAAAATGCTTTCCTATTTTCAATTACTGTGCAAATTGCTATTTTTAGATAAAAAATCTATATATAGCTAATGTAGGGATATCTGTAGGAAAATCCAGGATTTTTCAAACCTCGTATAAATTGAACATTTTGTAATCATAACGTTTTGAAGATCGCCCAACCGTTACAATTTTGTTGATTGTATTTGTTGATAAAATGTTGATAATCTGTAATTCATGCTAGTTTAGTAGTTATTTTTTATGTTGCAGATGCGTTTGCTCATTACGCATCTCAGTTTCTCAGTGCCTTTTTATTAGGTCACAGAATCTTAACAAGAATTCAAGCCGATTTGCAGCTAGTTTTTCAATTAGCAGTTGTAGACAGTCTTTTTTATACTTTTTGCAAGCCATTTCTATGTTCGTTGTTTCAAGCATAGTGCTAAAAATTTAATGAAACGCCAAATTTGTTTTTAGAAATGATATAACAAATCAAACTGTGAATACACAAAAATCTCAGAGCTTGAAAAATTAGGAATAATAAATGATTCCACATGCAACTCTTGCCCCAGCATTCCCTGTTTTTAAACTTCCAGCTCTTTGACTGCCTTCTCCCCTACCAAGGTCATCTTGCATTGCATGCACCTGAAATCAACGGACATACAGTCGTCACCTGCTGGCTAATATCAAGAAACAATTCTCGATAACCAGTAAGGTAGCCACGGTTTCAAAGAAGAGAGCCTATTGAGGTTTTCATAACGAGATCTTACGCCCTCCAGGCTAAGATGACCTCAGTCTAGGCTAGAAATGAGATATGCATCCTCTTTAAAGGTTTCCATTCCTAGAATGGGGGGAGCTTTGGTTCCCCGGCTCCTCTTATGCTTACACTAGGATCCGCACCACCGATCGTAATCTGGCAGGGGGGGGGCAGAGGAAAAGAATTCTTCTCGTACCACATGCTGGAACCTTAACAAAACTGTTTTTGCGCCTTTTGGTGCGTTTAATAGCTGCTTAGCATATCGCTATCAAGACTTACCTATATAGCAGGAAATTATCTAAATGCTTATCTACATTTTTGGTGTTCAGAACTGGAAGGTTTAAAGTTGCTACTCTGTGTCTGATGGACAGTTGCCTAAGGATGGCATTAAATGTGAAACTCGGAGTAGGAACCTAGACCCGTCCTGTTCTAATACATCAAAAGCGTGCACAATTTCAATTACATGTTAATCTATATAAAAACCTGTGCAAATTTCAATATCAGTCATTGCAACACCTTCGGCCTTGTGATGCAGGCCCAGTATGGCAATGCTTTTAAGCCCAAAGTCAAGGTTATCTAATATATTGTTCTGTCGCTTAATAAAAATATATAGAAAGAGGCTGATGATTCTGACATAGCAAATTCAAAATGATTTATGTTGGGTAAATGATAGAATTGTTGGGGTAGGTTGACGATCGGTCCTCTCCTTCGTAAAGTGGAATAATATTACAGGCAATCAAGAAGCAGCACCACAAATACCCTATGTTGCAGATTCTACTGAGAAGGCATTACCAGAAGAAGAACTTGAAGGGATGTACTTTACTCCTCCGTCGAGTCTGTAGTGAAAACTGTTTCTTGGACTGATTCAAATGAAACATAGACAGCCTATCTATAAATAGCATTGTAGAGCAGCATAATAAAGAATACATACAACAAAGGCGCGTCCTGCCACTGAGTACTTGCCAACGAGGGACACCATCTTGTCTTCGAATGTCAACCGAACTTCCCCATTCGAATCAGCCTTTACATTTCCAAGATCCCCAACATGTCTAAGTAATGAAACAAAACGTATCTTGAAAGATAATGCTATTGGTGCTATTGGTGCTGCAATATAAGGCCCAGTCTTGAATTAGGCCCAGATAAAAACAGACTAGATTTTTCCGACTAAAAGTGCGTAGATGAATTACATCGTCAGAATGCTATTGGAAATATAACCTACATTTTTCATGGAATGCTAAGGAAAACAAATATGTAGATGTTTTTAATTCCAAAAACCTAATTATTTTTCTTTTGGTAGTTAATTTGTTTTTGCAATTTTTGTGATCAAATTTTGAAAATCATCTAAGCCGAGGGGTATCCCTCCTTTAATAAGTTACATTGAATAACATGAAATGATTTTACGAAAATAACAAAAGGTTCATTGTGTGTTAGATACCTGATAATATCGTCTTTTGCGCCATGATTTACTCCAAATGGATTGTAATGTCCACCAGTGCTCAAACATCCTTTAATAAAAATGAGATGTGCATTTAAGAGCTCTACATATCAAGATGGCAAGGGTAGGAATGGTGGGCGGAAAAGTGGGTGGTTGGAGGGAAAAAACTCCACTCAAGTAAAAACTGTAGCAAGGTTGATATGGTAGGGATTGGAAGAAAACAGAAGAACTACCATCAAGTAACCAACTGTGCAGTACCGTAGCAAGGGAGGAGGGGCAAGAGTGGGCGGATGCCACCCCCCACAATTGCAAAATATCTCTTTCCCTTGCTCACCTCACCTTTGCCACCTCACCTTTGCTACCCCCCCCCCCAATCGTACCCCCTGACTACGCTACTGCAACTGTGGCAAGGGTAATGAAGGTGAACATGGTTGAATAAAGGAAAACTATCCTCTAGTATCCAGTCTAGATAGTGTAGGGATGCTAAGGAATGGCTAAAGATGGAACAACTACCGCCATGTAACCAACTGTGGCAAGGGTATGGAAGGTTAGAGGGGGCTGGTGGTTGAGAAAACTAGGCATTACATGACACGACGTGGTATACTTCTACATGACATGAAATGACATTAATTAGAGACATTAATGGGGTTTCAAAGGGTGATGTAATTAAAAATGCTGTTTTTCAGAATATTTTGATCAAGTTTAGTAGTATGGAAAAAACCATGGAATACTAAAATTTGTGAAAAACGATGTTAAAGATGGGTAAGATAAGGTAAGTAAAAGATTAGATGTTTGCTAACAGGTTACTGCTACTTTTGATTGGTTCAGGAAGTTACGATAAGAGACCAAATTACAGTGAATTGATAGGGGAAGAGCCCTCTCTCGTGTTCCAGTATCGCAGCGCATTAGTAATTCGTTCCAACGATTTTGCATAACTACAGGAATTTCATGATGCCCCTTTAGGTAATGTGGTCAAAACTCTGAAAGTCTAGAAATGAATTTTAGTGACGTCACCACATTAGAGCTCTATATCATCTCATTTTTCATTAACGCTTTTTATTTACAAAGAAACCTAAACAAATGGTCTTCAAAAGAAGGGTACAGATATGCGTTAAAAAGACCAATTTTCCCTCCAATGATATGAAGGTAGAAATCAATTTGCTTAGCTGTGTACAGACCTCTGCTGTGGATGTCTCCTTTGTCGTGGATGTGAAATCCATGAACTGTGTTTGGTTGAAAACCCCAGAGCTTAACGGTAATTGTTGTTTCACCTCCGCTGGCCTGAAAAGTGATGCAAATAATACTGAAAAAGCAATCAAATGATTGATAAAATGAAAGTTTATCTTTTTCCAACTAGAGTCTCTAGTAACTCGAAAGAAATTCGCAAACAATTATTCAAATGTTCACCAACGTGAATTTTTTTGATTTCACCAAAACGTTTCATCTTCAATGTCGCTCTTGTGAAAATAGCTGTATCTGGTGTAGAGTGGCCTAAGGCTTATTATTAAGACGTCAGTGGGTATAATCACATCGGCTGTTTCTGGCAATGCTACTAGTAATGTCAGAGATAAGACATTGATTCATTCGATATAAAATTCCTGTATATCACCTTTAAAGGCCATCACCTTTTAAGGCAATCGACAGATACAAAAGTTAAGCCTCCGTCAATCAAAAATAGCAAATCAATGAGCGTGTGAGTGAAATCAAACTCTCTGATGGGCAATTTTTGATTGAAAAGTGGTTTGAACCCTTTATCTGTCGATTGCATTGAATGCAAGTTGAAAGGAAATCCTTTGCTACGATATTCTTCATTCCTTGTAATATCAATTCCACGAAAGCTTCAAAGAAAAATTTAAGGCCTCGAGCCGTGGCGCATGGCTCCCATGATAAAAGAGGAGAGGTTTTGGTAGAGACCTTCTGAAAGTTATATGCGGCAACGCCCAAAACACTTTTCAAACGCAAGCAAAAACCCATTATGTTGGTGTTTTGGGAAATACCCGAGAACTAGCAATCGAAACGAGAAGAAACAAGCACTTCAACATTGCCTGTGGGGGTTTGAGGGGTTTGGGGGTTTGGGGGTTGGGTAGTGTATTTTTTCAAAAAGGCTCCAATTTGCCAGCCAGTCTAATAACTTCTGGCCAGGGTTGTAGATATGTCTTTTGTCTAAAGCAATCAAAAATTGTTTAAATTTAGCAGTGCAAATATTCTTTTATCAATGTTGAAATACCTTTTGCACCATTTCCACCTTTCCATAGACCTTGTAAGAAAATACTCGCTTGCAGTCTGGTGTGATCATTGATGTTGCTTTGATAGTAGCCTCACCTAAAAACAAAGCTTGTTGATCATATATCATCCTACTTGATCGCCAGCAACGTATCAGTCAGTTAAATTTGAATCTTAAATCGTATTTTTTGTATTTTTATTTTGTTACCTAGCATCCAAGGTAGTTTTAGGACATCAAGAAACTGTGCTTATCGAGCAGTGTCTTGTTCGTTTCTCTTGATGCGACCACGCCTTGTGATTCCTAAGCCTGGAAATACAGAGAAGTCAGCGACCCTAACCACTCACCCATCCTGGCACTTCGTTAAGGGTTGATTAATCCACTCTAAGTACCTACACTTGACTTTCCATAGGTAACTGCAATCTTGCTTTTATGCTCAAGGAGCAGTTTATTTAGCTTGGGCACAAGCAACAGTAGGGTTTCTTAACTCACGTAAACTTGCGGAGAAGCCGACATGTACCTGTGCGGAGGCACGAGAAATGCAAAGAAAGCAAATAATAATACTCTTTGAGTCTTTAGCAACTATTTCATACATATAAAAACATACCTTACAAGAAAGTCGAGGCTTAACTTGCAGAAAAACGAGAACATCGTAAGAAAATGATAAGCTTCAGTATTAGTCCAGACCTGTCAACTCTCCCGGTTTACCGGGAGACTCCAGGTTTTGGTTGCTTTCTCCCGGTCTTCCGTTTCTTATTATTTTCTCCCTGTTTTTTTTTCTTGTCTTATAGCAGAGATGTTCTTATAACAAAAATGACTGAAATGATTTTCTTCGTGACAAAGTTTTTTGTTAGTGTTACAAAACGAAAACGTTAAGAATCATCAGAAAGACGCTACCCATGATAATTGTCCAACATTACTTTTTGCAGGTTGTTGTTTACAAAGTCAAAAAATTCCAGGGATCTCCCTGTTTTTGGCCACATCTCCCTGTTTTTCTCAATTAAGAATCTGAAATCTCCAAGTTTTGAAAATTTAGGTTGACAGGTCTGCAGTATGAAAATTAGAAGAAAAAGCCCATGTTAACAAAACGGATCAAATGGTATGGAAAACTGTTATTTATTTGTCTTAATAACCATTCATAGTATTTAGTTGCTCAAAATCTTATAAACACCCAGGTCTTATATTAACGCTTAAAGCTTAATAGGCAGCGCGTCGTAAAATGGCCATTTATAAAAAAGCCTCACTGCTCAAGATAGCAAGCTCATAACCATAGATTCGTGGGTAAGTGAGTTGTAACCCGCAAATGCAATTGTGTTGTTGTCTTTTTTATGGTTGAACCATAACAATATGATTGCACTCTAGACTCATACAACACAGAGAGGTCTCAAGATGGACGCTGCAATGTGGAATCAACGCTGGGCTGGAGAAACTCGATCCAGTCTTTTTTTAGATCAGTGTTTGTTACTAAAACGATGGAACGAACTCCCAGCGTCCAATGCAATGAGGTGGATAGTGAAGAATTGCTCCGGCTTTTGTGAATACAGAAGCATTACAAAGCAAAGACGCCGGATCAGAACAAAATGGAACTAAGGGCATGTGACCCCAAATTCTAAGAAAATGTCTCCCAATTTAGAGGGTTTGGGAAATTGCCCCATCTTCTGAGACCTAGTGACCACTCCTACCTGTGCCCCTTAAACACTGAAGTGCCTCTGTCACCCATGTTTATCCCGTCTCCCTTACATGATCTTTGGTTACATATAACTCAGTAGCTATAAATGCTATTGACATACAGACACATACCTTTAGCCAAGGCTATTGCCATCAACAGGGCAACGGGTATTGCCAAATGCGATAACATCATTGCAAACGTCTGACCTACAAAAGGCAGCAACGTAAAGATGAGCTTCTGGGAAAGAAATGAAGTAGTAGACAGAAATAATGCGTGACTTCAATATTGTTAGTTATTTATAATTAGAGGTTGTCAAGAGCAGTAATGAGTTTTTATTGAATAAGAAATGTCTTGAAACACCTTCATTGGCAAATGTGGTTTCTTTAAAGTTAAAATCGATATGAATGGTAGGTAATTAAGTGAAGGGCGCACATGTCCGGCACAATATACAGAAAAATAAGCAAAAGGCGAGAAAGATCGTTAAGCAGAAGAAGTGCGTCGCAGACTATCGCAAGACTACAAAAGCTTGTAACTTATGAAACAATAAAACCACGTTCCATTCTTAGCTTTCAACATACCTGTACATTTTTTTGTATTTCCAATATTGCTGAGGAACCAACTTCATAGCCTTGCCTTCCCCCCAAAAAACTTCAGTTCTTTTAGGGCTAATCCAACCCCCCCCCTCCCCTCCCCCTCCCAACCAAACGCTGTATCTCCGTCTATGTCAAAATATGTTGAGAGCGTTGCTAAAACATTGCAGAAAACTTTGAGCCATTGCAGAAAGCCAGAGGTGAACTTATTTAATCACCCTAAAAGGCTTGTGGGAGGGGTACAGAAGAAGGGGAGGTGTTGGTCGAGCAATAGATGATAGATTGCTATTGCCATCTGTGAAAAAACAGGCAAGCCGAAAGCATTTCAAGGGGCCTAGAGCAAAAAAGATAGGGCCCGTGATGAGGTTATTAAAACTGTGATTGCTATGGTTGTTGTAAATATGATGAGCCTTTTGGGTCCCTCTCAGCTCCAGGACTAGGACAATCTGGCTCCTGTCCCCCTCCCAGCATGCCTAGGGGCAGATACTCCTAGTCTTTGGCAAAATACCCCTTTTTGGCGAGGTATTCTCTGTAGAACTTTTAAGAAAACGGTCGTTCTTCTTAGACGTCCTGTCCCCCTCTTTCGTCCATTGCCACTTGAAGGTTCTTGCGCAACCGGTATTCCTAGCGGCATTATTACAACATATGAACAGGAGCTTCAATATGAGATACTTTGAATCTGGTCACCTGCTCGAACATAATTTATTTCTAAAGAAAGATACCATTGTTTCAAAACATGATATAAACTACGACCCCAGCCGCAGCCGTGACAGAAACAAAGCCTGAACAAATGCCCGTCACCCCCCCCCCCCCCACCTTCTCCTCCTCCCCTCTCCACCCCCACTCAGAGCTTGAGTCATGCATTTTTGTGGCAGATATCTCGGAAATCGACATCAAACTCAGGGTAATGGGAACAAAATCTCTGCATCTTCTCTCAGGATTGTGGGCAACTGAAAAATTACCCTGGACATTAAACTAATTACAAGACTTGAGCAAAATAATTAAAGAAATTAAGAATTAATTATAACGATAAAGAGGAAGACCTTTAAGTTGCAGGTAAATCTTTCTCATTCCTGTGTACCTTTGTTTAACCATCCCCTTATCGAAATTGGAGAGGGATGTTTCCTCGTGAACACAGAAATACAGAAAAGAAATGTGTAACTTAATCCACAATTCCCTTGAATCATTAGTAGAAAGAACAATACGTGGGAGGGAATGTCTTTACTTCCAGTCCCTACCTTAGAAGGATTCTTACGATGAGGTAAAATGGATGGTCGGGTAACGGAGCGAAAGCCAGATTACCCCTGATGCACCTGACCCTATACCACTCTCAAACAAGGGCGGGTACAGAAAAACCCCGCACGGGGGGGGGGTCGAAAATGCAACCTTGTTTGCCCCTGCGCAGCTGCATTTTAGCTTTACATCAGGTTCCTTGTAATTATTTATAGATGCAAAGTTTTTATGTCAAAAGGAAGTTCTGTTTTTTTTTTAAACAAAACGCCTGCTAAAAGCAGCTTGACAAATAAAAACGACCAAGTTGTGTACGACGTTAATCTTAATTATTCCTAGCCATAGAAGAGTTTGGCAATTTATGGTTGATCAAATTTTCAGGCTTCTTATTGGGTAGTTATTTTCCATTGCATAACTCTCCGTGTATTCTGTGAGTTTATACTCGAAGGAGACGCCTGCCTACCATTACGGCTCCAGGTTTTCATACCAGCCAAGGTCCAAACAACATTACGTAACAAACTGGACACAGGGGAGCAAATTCTTTGCTGTATTCAGGACAGTTGTGGCAATGTGAAACAAAATGTTGAAGCAGATCTGCAGATAACAATTATCTATATCCATTATCCCAAGTTTCCACAACTTTGAATTGGAATCTTTCATAACTTCGCTCCTTTCTTTCTTTACTGATGCTCAAGTTATTCATTTGAGATTATATAGATATAGTAAGTTACAGTTTTTCAACAGGACCTCCACCGGGGGTCGGGTTGCTATGGTCCCTCCTTTTTCTTTTAGCTAATTCAGGAGTTTAATTCACAAAATCAAAATCAATTAGTTGGTACTTTACATTACCTGAACCCCCGACCAAACCCCATTCTTAAACTAACGTCGCAAGTCCTATTACATAATTAAAACATGACATCGCAAAGGTCATGTTTATGTTTAAACTATTCAGCGCTAGAGCAAATAAGAGCAAGTTTTACAACTTGTGTCTGGTTATCTTTGGCTTCTTAAAAATGAAAATAATTTGGTAAACAACTTACAGAATTGTTTCTCCACTTGCAGCCTGTGTCTTCTATCGGGCGACCAAAACGCAACTGATTTGTCGAGTCTCTGTCTAAACATGTAATACCGCAGTCACGTGGAATTTTTGTATGCAAATTTCTGTCCGCTTTGAAATATCACCACTAGCCTCTCCTACGCAAAGGCCTTCAAATTGCTGTGAGGCGAATAAAACTAGAGAGGTGAATATTTCCAGGTACCATGAAAATGGGGGCTTGAGGCTTATGGCCCTAGCATTTTTCCAAATAGTGTTTAAAATGATGTATTAATAATATTGATTCTGGCCTTTTGCATGTTTAGGAGCTCAGAAAAACTTGTTAGCCCACCAAAACCGTAATATGATCGGCAGTTCCTGGATCTACGCATGTCCACTATTTGGTCTACTATTCCTGCCCTTGAATTTATGTCGCTCTGGTACCAACGGAAGTAGAAACGTTACATTCATAACTCGTGTAGCAAAAACAGACAGAAAATACTTCTACCGCGTTTTGGGGGGAAGAGGCAGGATGAATTATGCAAGCCGTGACAACAAATGCGCCAGGCCAGCAGCATCCTACGGTCCTACTTCAAATTCATATGAATTTAGATAGCAAACAAAATTACTTACTTATCGTATCAATGATAATTTAGGTTCAGCACCTTTTAGATCAACATGATTATAATTATGTCAGCATCGTGAAGGGTGAGATATTAAAGGTTGAAGTGGCATTAGAAAGCAGTAAGCAGCGTGATTGACTGGCACCTATCTGGTCCAGCCAGGGTACCAGTGTCACATAAATTCGAGTGCACAAACGGCAGTCGGTTTTTCCACTTATCTCCTCAATTTCCGCCCTCGAATTTACATGGCCCTCTTACCAAGGGTACTTTCTGGCAATAGTCGTCCATAAGGAGATTCGTGTCAAGATTCACTGGCCAACTTCGTTGTGCCCCGGGTCCCCGAGCGTCAAGCGTCAAAGCAAGTGGGGCATTGAGGCACGCTTGACGTTCTGAAACCCAGGGTAACTTCGTTGTTACTAACATATTCTGTCAAGTCTCTATCGGTGAACGCATCTCTTTGTGTTTTCTTACCTGTGCCAGTCAAGGGTGGCCGTCCTTTTGGAAGGGCAAGCCAGCGTGAGAGGGAGGGTCTACAAGAACCGCAAGGTTACCCACCTTTGCAACGCTTGCGTAAGTCCTCGAAAAAGCCTAGGACAGAGGAGGTAAATCAAAGGAAAATTGAATCAGCGTAAATCAAATTGAAATGCACACCAGATTCTACGAATAATGTACCTAATGAATTTTGAAAATGAGTGGATTGCACAAATCCCTTTAAAGAGAATCAACGGATATAGAACAGGATAACTCCAAGCTATTCATTTTAACCAATCATAATATAAAATCTCTTTGTTACCAAATTTAATTTCTATGCAAATTTAATGGAATAGAAAATTATTTTTAGAACAACCTGGCTAAATTCTGTTGATTCTCTTTGAATATCTATTCAGTGCACCGAGTCCAATCATTTCTTATTTTTATTGTAATGTAGTTTTTCATTTTGTATATCATACCTTTTCTCTTTACTGAATAGATATCGTGCGTAAATAAGATTAAAATGGAAAAAATCATGTTTCTTATAAAAATACCCGAATTTCTAGGTTGAGTATTAGAGTCATGTTGAATTTGGTAGTCATGTTGAAATCTCTTGCCCCCAGACCCCCTTTCCCCTTTAGCTTCTGTCGCTTTCTTCTACACTCTTTTATCAATACATTAGCAGTAATATAGTTTCAAAGAATAACCAGGCTCAAAGTCATCGAATTTTTATAAATATTATAAGAATTTTGATCAGCGTCGGCACGCATATTTGTGTCTCGTTTTTCAGCAGTTGTCTGTTTTGAGTGAGTGGTGTTCCCCTTAAACGATATCAGCTTTGAAAAAAGCAAGAATTCTTCAAGAATATATTTAGGCTCAAAACAAAAATTTCTTAAGAAATTTCTGAGGCTGGGCAAAATTTATGGCATTCTTATCAGGGAGTGTATAAGAATATCCTACTAAAAATGTATTTAAGAAAAAGCAGGGAACGGGTAGAAAATAATTATATCGAGTCCCTGTCCTTGTGTATATGGCATATACACAAAGAAATTATAAACAGTTTGCAGGCAATATCGAATACCATTTTTAAAAACTTTGTAGAAATATTTTGCTTAACAATTTTATTTGTATTGGTAGCAATAAATAGTGTCCCGAATTAGCACAGTATGCAAATTACATAGAAACTGTGATAAATTAAAAATTATAATAAAAAACTTGAAAATTTGATTGTGTAGTTGGTGAATCGTATCAAAAAAGATCGAGCTAGCAAGGGCAATTTTCACATACTTATTCCTGCATTCACTCCAATATGTCATAAAATGGCTATTTCTTAATGCATTACATATAAAATTTTCGAAATATGTGTACTACTCCCTAATGATAATTGCCTATGAAGGTACTTGGGACAGAAACCTTTATAAGAGGTCTTCAGAGGCAGACCCACAGTTTCTCACTGTTCTTACGTAAGAACGTCATTTTTACTTGAAAAATATATCTATAAAAAGTTATCTATACTTATATATAATATCCAAATATTTGCATGCGACAGCCAAAGACGCTTAATGACTGCTTTGTCTGTATGTGACTAGGAAACAAAGTTTGACACTCTTCCATAGAATGAGAGAGAAAAGTTTGAAAAGTAAAATGAGAAGAATAAGATAGTTATAGTGACACAAGTATAGTTTAAGATAATAAAATATCAAAGAGAGTAACATTAGGATTTTTCACATTTCCCCCTCTCCCTACTCTGTGACTCTACCCGTGTAGAAAAAGCGAGAAAAATCAAGTTCTGTAAGAGAACGATAAAATTTGATCAAATGCAAAATTTAACAGCAATAAATAAATGTTAATCAGCTTTTTTCTTTTCCTCTTTGGCATCTTTGCCGGATTTTTTGAACATGCTTATTATATCGACAAAAAGGAGGCTGCCACCAAAAACAAGCGCTGTCCCTGCCCAGTGATAGATAGTGAATGGATTTCTGAAGTAGAAGATCGAGATGAGAAGGCTGATGAATTTCCTTAGAGTTATGACCAAAGTCACTGTTAATGAGGTGTATTCGACAGTTAAATCGTAAACACTGCGAATGCAAATGTATCTGAAAGCTTTGTAAAGGATAACGAAACGAAATTCGATATAGGAGGGAATTAACCTGGATGTCAGAGTCCTCTCAATTTAGTCTCAAAAATATAAAGTCCTGGATGTCAGAGTCTCCATTCAGTATTTAAAGCTAACCTCAGAAATATGTATCTCAGTGGGGATTGGCAGGCCCTCCGAGAGCCGGGGGGGGCAAGGGGGCACATGTTCCCAGATTGTCATCACGGCTCTATCTTTCTTTCTGCCCCATTCCCCAGGCAAGCTCTCAGCGGGCCAGGAAATTTGGAAAAAGAGAAAAATGAAAAACCTTTACCCTGTTTCCTACCCCTCCTTTACATCTACTGATTCATCGCCACCACATCGGCCAATTATACCGAATCGTCGGCTTTCGAGGCACGGGTACACAGGGAAGAGGAGGAAAAAAGCAGATAACGATCTTTATGGTGAGCACCATTCTATATCTAGATCTTGACAAAAAGATGTGCAACATTGATTGTTCTATTAAGACCTGTTTCAAACCTATAATGTACTCAAAGCCTGTTTTTACCCACTAACAAATCAAAACCCCCAAAAACCTGATCACAATCTGCTGTGAATAAACTTCTACAGTGAAATGAAAGGATACTGTGTGATTAGGTTACCAATAAGATACAACCACATGATTGGTATACTGATGTCAATATATGGGATTAGCACCGGATCTGAAAAAAACAAAGTTTAAGTTATGTTAGAACATAATCAACATTTCATATCTAGTCTTTTAACCACAAAGCTGTGGTCAAAAAAGAAGGCTGGACTTTCCTTAGGCCGTTTTTTGAGCGTTGGGGCATTTTAAATAAAGTATCAAACGAAGATTACAGCTTGCTACG